CTTTGCCTTCTACTCTGACAGCAGTAGATGAGCTTTCTAGATGGTGCCAGGCTCTCCTTCTAGTAATTCTTGTTGGGTATTTTGCTGCTGTATAGTCATAGAATTGTAGACTTATTTACTCCAATAATTGCCAGTGCAGGAATCTAAAGCTAAAACACCTGTCAAATTACCATCCTACTTATCTTATCTCTGATACTTTCTCTCATTCTAGGGCAGTTCTCAAAAGGCTGCAGCAGCAGACATACAAGGGGTGGTATTCCATCTCTTCCCACTTTTCTGCTACTTTACAAGCCCCTGAAGACTGTTTCTGAGGCTAGCCCAGATAGAACCTTAGCAGTTCTATTTTTGAGTCAGACAAATGAGCCCCAACAATCATTCTCTGCCCTTCTTGAATGTGCTATAGTGCATTCAGGCTGTATTCTTTTACGCAGAGTAAAAGAGCACCAATAGAAAAGAAAATACAATTACTGTAAATTGTGTGCTCTCCTCTGATATTGGTAGAAATGGTGTGGATGTTTTAGATGCCTGATTATATTTTTGCGTTCATTACGTTTGCACAATTGACACCTGTCTTAAATAATAAAATGGATCTTTGTACAAGGAACCACTTGCAGATATGCTTTGACTTGATGCCACAGATTTGCTTCATCTTTGGAATGAGAATTTGGCATATTTCATCTGGATGCTCATGATGACAAGGAAATGACTGATGTTTAGTGAATACATTTTCCATGTAGGTTTCTTAGGCCTTTATTTGGTGGTAAATTTTAATGTGACTGGCTTGTGATCCATATTCTGCAAAGCAGTGTGTGTTTATTTAATATGTATACCAAATTTCCAACCCTTGAAATGAAACTCTTTTTACTCCCCTGGTTGGGAAGTAATTATTGGCTAGCTGTGTGAATTATGTTTACAGTATGATGGCCTGACGTAGTTTTCTTTTTCTGTGGTAACACTTCACCACAGACTTTTGGAAAAAGGCTTATGAGGTCATCTAGGAAAAGAGTTTTTCCTAGTGTTCCTGAGTTTCTTGTACTGAGTAATTCAAAATCATTAAAACTCTCTCTCTCTCACACACACACAGTTGACTCCTTTCTCTTAAAGGCTAATTCCTCTAATTTACTTCTGTCCCATTGTTCCCTCCAGACCTTAAGGCATCTTATCTGACTTTATATAAAGCAGGGTGACAACCAGTTATGTGTGGGATATAATGTGTGTTGTGGAGCTTGGGTGTCAAAAGAGGTTCCTCACTTCACCATCAGAGTTATGGCTGGCTACAATTCAGCCTCTGGGAAATGATGGTTGTGTGTCTGGATGCTCTTTTTCCATCGCTGGCATGACACTGATGTGGCTCTCTGTCCTGAGATTTTGTTCTTTCCCGGCTTGTTGTTCTATCATGTAAAAGGCAACTTCCTGTTACAAGAGCCTTGTGGCACAGTGGTTAAACTGTACCTTCCATCCTTCTGAGGTCAGTAAAATGAGTACCCAGCTCACGCGTGGGGGCGGCAGCAATGCGTAGCCTGTGTAATTCTTTTTTAAAGTAAACCACACAGAGAGTGTTTCAAGCACTATGGGGAAACATACAAGCTGCATCCTTTTTTGTACCCCAAATATGCAATGCTGTTAACAATTAGAGGGCAGTCAAATAATCATTTCTGTGTTATGGATTGGGAAGCCATATTGTGTATACACAGACCACTTACTTATTTACTCATTTGCAATGTAATGGATTAGTCCTGACCAAAGATACTAATCTGATTAGGATAGTATTGGGTAGCAGGTTCTAGTGTCCATGGTGGGCAATATGTTCCTGGGCAATATTTGATGCTGACACCAAACAAATCCAAGTATTGAAAGCAAGGAGATTGTATCTGTTTGCTGTTGAAGTACTTCAGTAGGAAACTCTTCCTGCTCAGTGATATTGTCACTTTCACAGTTGGCAGAAGAACCCTCTAATTACTTCCAAATGCTCACTGTTTTACTAATGCCCCTGGATTCCTCCCCCCCCAAGAAATGCAAAGCTGGCTGTTTGAGACTAGACATTTCATTATGGCTCAACCACTGCTTCTGATTTTGTTTTATGATCTTGCCCTCTCACATTCTCCCCCTCCTTGCTTATTATCTTGAACGTTAAAGAAAACATTTTCTAAACCAGATTATAATGCAAAAAATGATTTTTTTTCAGTTGACTGTTTAATAATCATTGTAATTGATTCTGGGTTTTTTAAAAAATGGACAACTATGTTGTATATCACTTTCATTTCCTCTATATAGATTTGAGTAAGTGCACATCTTTTGTTTCTAGAGTCTATAGCTGAAGCATTTCTTTTCATTGCTGCCCCTAAGGAAGTGCCCGAGTCACATCTGGGACAGGCTGTTGGATCATGTGTTGTTATAAATCCCCTTTGATTGGGATTGCTGATACAGTGAGCTAGAGCACTGGTTTTTAACCTTGGGTTACGCGTTATAGATCCCCCTTGATTGGGATTGTTGATACAGTGAGCTAGAGCTCTAGTTCAAGAAGCCATACTTTGAAGGTGGCACAATTTCTGGACATCTTTTGCAGCCTTTAACCAGAGTTTCTTGGTTGAGATGGAATAGGAAACTATAGCTGATGGAATATTTGCTGGCTTTACTGCCGTAAAAAGGTAACTTTGAAGGTGGCACAATTTCTGGACATCTTTTGCAGCCTTTAACCAGAGTTTCTTGGTTGAAATGGAATAGGAAACTACAGCTGATGGAATACTGTATTTGCTGGCTTTACTGCCGTAAAAAGGTAACAACACAGCATCTCTCTGTGTGTGTCCATAAGACTTGCCCATATCTAGACTTACTAAGCTGAGATGTGATGAATCATTGGTTCCCAGTCTTGGATCCCCAGAGCTTCTGGGAGCTAAAACTCCCAGAAGCTTTCACCACTAGCTGTGCTAGTCAGGATTTCTGGGAGTTGTAGTCCAAGAACGTTTGGAGACCCAAGGCTGGGAACCACTGTAATAAATAATTGAACTGAAAGGGCATGGTGCAATGTTGTACTTTCAGGACAAGAAAACCATCTGACAGAACTGAGAAGGAATTATTCCCTCTCCTCATCAGAGCCCTCTGTAAGCTCCTCAAACCATTTGTCAAGGTCTAGAAAGTCCTCCTGAGTCAGATTACAGGAAGTGCAGTTGGCTGCCAGGTTCAAGGGTGAGCGATCCCATTGTAGGAGCAGAATGACAGATTTGGCCTAAATGTCTTTATAACACATATTGGAAGAATGCTGACTGGGTAGCTCAGTTAGTTAGGTATCTGGCTGCAGAGACAGAGGTTGGGAGTTCAATCCTATACCTCTAGGGAAAAGAGGTGGCTTAAGTGGTTTGGGGCAAGCTATTCAGGCCTGGGATGCCCCCAGAAGAAGGGAATGGTAGACCACTTCTAAGTGCTCTCTACCTCTGAAACCTTGAAAAATGTCACCATAAGTCAGAATTGACTTGACAGCATACAATTATTACTATTGTTGGAAGAGTGCCACACAAGGGTAAACTTCTCTTCTATATTTTTTATGTGCCTCCTGTGTGGAAGAGTGCCACAGAAGGGTAAACTCTTCTATATTTTTTATGTGCCTCCTGTGTTCCTTTGAGTTTACTAAACCACTTCTAGGTTAAAATGTTTGTGAAGCTCTGTAGAGGTATATGCATAATGCATGTCATGATTTTTGTGAATTCTGACTTGCAAATACTGAAGAGCACCATGGAAGATCTTCCTGGCGAATTTGGCTTCCGGTTTGACTGTAGGCAAGCTAAAGGATTTTCTTGAACAAGATATGGTTACATCCATTTTCTGTGCCATTGATGTTATTTAAGTAGGTCTAAGGACTTTGGGGTGGTTTTTTTGTCATGTGCTTGTACATAAAATACCTACCAGCAGCTAGACGTGTTTGCATAACCTTCAGTGAAACAATGTATATATAATCTGTGACCTCTTTTCCTTTAAGGATTCGATTCAATGTGTGTATTATTTAAATAGTCTGGCTTTTGGGTAAATCCTCATAAGTAGATTGGACACGATTCACAGTTCATAATGTTCTCAGTCAGAGATTGTCCACTGAGGAACTGCATTTTATACTCAGCTTTAGCTGACTGTAGGAAGATTGCATTCTTTGTTATTCATTCAATATGTTATTCCTCAAATTTGTCTTGTTGACTAACACTACAGAAACAATGAATCACAACCAGAATGCGGTCAGTTTTATGGATAAATCAGAGTGATCACTAAACAAAGCTTTCATTTTTGGCTAAAATCAACAATGCCTTATTTTACGTGGGCTAAGAAGGACTTAACAGTTTAATCAGTTATTATTGTCTCCAGAAGTCATGTTATTATTGGCTTCTGCACTATTAAAGAGCAGGCCGGGTAGGTGGGGCCCATCAGCCATGGAAGGCAGCCCATAAAGGAAAAGGAAAACTTCAATTTCAAACACCAACTGCGTTGTGGCTATATCCACTGAGGGGGGAATCTGGTGCTTGGGTAACAGCCTATCCTCCGTATTACTTTACCCAGACTTCATGCTCTGGAGAGGACACTCCTCGATTCAGAGCATGTTACCATAATCTATCGAGACTGAAGGATGCCTATGGATGGAGCTATTGTCTCCAGGGTGTTGACAATCCAAGCAATGTGTATGGTTTAAGAGAATAAAGCAAAGCAAATAAAAAATCAGAGATAGAAAGCAGTCACTAATTTCTTTCATCTGGTGATACAAACAGTCTTGTGTTGGTTAACAGTTCAAGTTTTAACTTGTTAGGATTTAATTAGTCTTTTATGATCTCTCCTGATGTTATTTTTTTGTGGATGTGAAAAGATATGTGACAATTTTGTCTGTTCTTTGGAAGGAGGAACTGTATTCTCTGTTGCACATATATTTGATGGTACAGTGTGCTTGTGTGTGTGTGTGTGTATATGTGGGAGAGAGAGAGAGAGAAACTGGCTCTTTAAATAATTTCAATTGTTTTTTTTCCTAGTGTTGTTCCACTTCTGAGAGAATCCATTGGAATTTTGATGCAGCGAACCCCTCCCCTGTTGGAAAACGCTCTGCCTCAGTGTTATCAAAGGGCAAGTTGGCTTTTGTCTGTTTAAAGCAATGATGAAAATTTTATGATCTGTGGACCCCGTGTTACCCCAAAGCTCTTTTCCCTTCCAAAGCACCCCTGGAAACCAGCTACAAACTGCCCCATTGAAACAGTACCATAGTTTTCCAGCAGGAGGGGGTGACACAGTTATTTAAATCAAACAGTTCACTTGCTTTAAAAGGCTGGTGGAGGTTTGTTGCTACTGGTTCATTTAAATCAAGTTAACAGTTGCTGTAAATATTCTGCACCCTCTCCCCTTCCCTGGTTGGTTGTTGCCAGGTTTCCACAGAAGCAGGGGAGTTGTGGCCCATGGCAGTCCACTGGTGGGGCAAAATTGGCCCATAGACTCGGCTAGAGTTGTCCATCTCACTTTGAAACCTACACCTGCCAAATAAAATAGCAAAAGTTTCACATCCCTATGTTACCTGTCCTTCAGAACAATCTACTGAATTTCATGACAAGTAATAGAAAAATAATAACATACAAGCACAATTACCTGATTAGGTAATTTTATGGACTGTATAATTTTATAGTATAAGGTTAGCACAATCATGCCCTGTGCATTGCTTACAGTGAATCAAAGAGTACTTTCCCCAGTTGTATGCCTTCTGTTGTTATTAAACATACAATCTAGTATTTCCTTTGAGTTACTTGTAGCTTCATGACTTCTGTGAACAGAATAATATCCAGAAAGCATATTAAAACATTTCAGGGAGACATTTCAGAATATCCTTGCTTTATAACTGTTTGTTACTTTGATTTTTGTACTGTAGCTTGTATCTTGTCTGTTGCCGCCAGTGTTCAGCTGTATAGTTTGTCTTATATTTTATATTTTTATGTCACCTAAATGTTATCTTTGTATATTAGGTTCAACAGCTGCAAGGAGTTTACAGTTTACATGATCCTCATTTCTGGACCCTCTGTACTGATGTTTACATAGGGACTCTGAAACTGTTTGTAGCTCCAGATGCTGATGCAAAGTGGATTCTAAGCCAGACTCACAACATTTTTACTCAGGTATAATTTACAGGTTCACTGTAACTTTAAACAGGATACCATATCCAACAGCTGAGGATATTTCTTCCTTTTTTTGAAAAATAGAAATAATAAGACACATCTGTACTGATTCGCTGCCTTTTCAGCCTTAATATCTGAAGCTGGCTTTATTATTGGAAGTTGTTGAAACTTTGATTCTGGGCTTTTTTCTAGTATCTTTGTTGTCTAAGATCAATCTTTTGTCTAATTTACTTGACTTACAAAAGTTCTGTCTGTTCTATAATTACCAAAACTTTATTGGCATGCAGTCAGTTCTGCTCTATAAAGACTGTTTCCTGACTTAATTTTGCCCCCTGAGAATTCTGAAGTTTGTGTTTAAGTAATGAGGCTACCTTGCATTTTTCTTTTTTTAAAATGGAATCAATATTTTAGTTGTTTCTAGCAGTTATTTTAACATTAAAATACGGACTTTTAATAATTAATGTGGGCCAAAATCATTGTGTGTAAATTTGTGCATATGCAAGCTCATGATGTCATCAGGTGCTCCTTTTATCAGTCATTAAGAAGTTTCCTGTTCATCCTCCCCTTCCAAGTTCTGAGGCTCCCTAGGGAACCCTTTGAACTGGGAAAAGCCTTTGGGAGCCTTGGGAACGTGGGGGAAAACATTAAGGTCTGGAAATTTCCATTAGTGGTCCTGTTGCCAGAATTGGCACTATCTGTGATGATTTGGGGGCATTAAGACTACCCACCCCACCCCTACCCTGAGCCCCTCAAAGGCTTCCCCAACTCAAAAGGGATCCTGGGGGAGGTGGAATAGGAATCATCAGCCAACCTCGTGGCTGATGATGTAATCAGCTTGTATGGACGTAACTTTATGCAAAAGTATTCTGGTCACTATATACATGTATTTCTACTTGCATACTGTACATTCAAGGAATTCAAGAATGTGTGAGAGAAAAATAATCAGCCATCAGTTAGTTGGTATTGAGTTGTCATTCCTAAGGGCTCTCTTGTGATATTGAATGACAAAAGCAGTAAGTCACTTCCATACATTTACCAGCTGTTGATTCTAAGGACCCACCACAAACCAGCTTCATTCATGATAGCTTTGCGTATCAGCATGGTTTAAAGTGGGCAATTATTATTTCTTTCATGAATACTAGGTGCAATGCAATTCAGGGATGCAAGATATCTTTTAAAACCATTTCTGGGTTTTGTAGCGTGGCAGGTTCAAAGGCTTTCCTAGGCACTTCCACAAAAAGAGAAACAATTTCCATCTTGAGTGGTCCGGTGGGCCAGATAGGCGGGGTATAAATTAAATAAATAAATAAATAAAAATAAATAAATTTCACTGGTATTTGAAATTGGGTCGTCCCCATTGCTCGACTGGTTTTCTAATGTGGGTTTTCCTTTTATTTGCAGGCTGGAGTGAGGCAGCTGTATGTACAAATTGACTTTGCCGCTATGTAGCAAACACCTTGGACATCCTTTTTGGACCAAAGGTTTTTTTTTATTTTTAGAACCGTTAATGATTCAAGACATTAGACTTCTTCTGAAACAGAAACCTCTCTTCTCAACAGTTGTCCGAAATGGAATAGACTGCTGCCTTTTGGCTGGATGAAGAAGAACTTAAAGGGCACTGCCCTAGACTATGGAGGGGCTTGGCTTTTTCAAAAGCCCTAAGCCTTTGTGCATTGTTTGCCAAGTTTGTTCCTGCAGCAAACTTAATGTGGTATTGCAATCATTGGTTATGCTTTCTTAGGATGTTTTTGCTCATTCCCACAAAGCCAGTGTTATGCGGGGAGGGTGGATGAAAAGAAAATGATTCTGTTCATGTCACAGTGGTTGACATTCTACAATATAACTGTATGTAAGACTGTTTGTACTTTGCAAACTTGATGAACCAAACCATATTGGGTTTCCAGAGTGCCTTTATATCGAAGTATCTGTTGACACAGATATGAAACATCGGGGATTTTTATTAATTTTTATGGCTACTTCTTGTACCGAGTAAGGTTCTTAACTTGTGATTGGTGTGATCTATGTGTAATAGCATTATGGTAGATGTTGGACTCCTTCTTACTGTTACATTCTGAACTTCCGTGGAGGTGACTTTTCAGTTGTACAATACAAACATCAAATGATCACACAAAGCTTGTTTACAAAATGTTTTACTACCATGAAGTGAATCTAGGCTGATTGTACCTCAGCACTCTTGACAGTAGTTGAAAATTACTGTCTGTGGCCATTGTGCTGAAGGAAAACCTGCAGAAATGTGATGCTACCACTTGATTATCTTCTTTATCTACAGACTTGTTTTGAGTTTTTTAAAGCACTCAAAAAAGAGGAAGCTTTCATGTATTGCCTCCTTCTGTTTTTTTTTTCCAATCTGATCTGGGAGCTTTTACATTCAGATATATGAATGGATAATGATATTTCTTTATGTGCTAGCTAACAGATTATCAGAGGTTTTACTTCAGATTCTATGTTTTCAATCATTATTCAGAAGCTATTCAGTCTTAAGATCTTAAATGAAGATCAAGCCAGAATATTCCTCCAGAAATCCCTCCACTCTCTGCAATAAAGTTCATAATGTATACCATTATCATGCAATACAAATGGATTTGCTGATTTCTCTCCATACAAAAAGTCTGATTTTGTATTTGATTTTAAAGGGATCAATGGGTTTTTCAGCAAAGTCTTTTGGCGCTTAATTCACAGGGCAACTCTTTTAATAAACAGTGTATAGTTCAGCCAACATTGGTTTAAAGCCATCTTCTGTTTTGTTTTTTGTCCCAGCTGAGGTTTTTCCTAGTTTCTCTGGATCACCACTAAAAGCAATTAGATTTCCGTGTGTTCACCCAATAGTAAAAGTGTAACAGCCAAAGGCTCTTGGTAACACTTCAAGGGCTCCTTAGACAGAATAACAAAGATCTGCAAATATGTATTGAACTGAAGTAGATCTTAAGTGGAATGTGCGACAGAAAGAAAAATCATCTTTTCACTCAACCAGAGATGAGTAAAGTGCAATTTCCCAGAAAGGGACTCTCAGCATTACTTATCTGTTGGGTAGGCTGGCTGCGGTGATGGCAAACGAACATGGAAGGCTGCCCTTTCTGCCTCTGAGCAATCTGTACAAATCAGGAAAAAAATCTAATACGGTATAAATCATTCATGAATTTTTGGGGAGCGGGGAAGAGTATTTGTATAATGGATGACAGTTGTTAAAAATGAATATTGGTTAGTAATTATATTCTTAAAACAATATAAGGGACGTCAGAAATGGCTAAATTAGAACAGAACCTTTTAATTTCATTTTTAGCAGTAGGCTTCCTTATATAATTTTTGATGTTATCTGTTCTTTTGTAATCTATTATTAACTGTTTAATTTCTAGTCTGTGCTTTGTCTTAATGTTATTTTAGAAATGTGACTTGACACAAATTACTTGCATTTACAGAAAATGCCTTCATAAAGTATATGTCATTCTGTCCCACAGGACTTCTCTAGCATGCTTTTCTAGATTGAGGTTTCACTCTGGCTTGTTCCCTTTCCCAGTCATGACACCATAAAATTCTTTCTCTGGCTTGTTGGTGAAGAGACAGAGTACCAGGCGCTGTGCACAAATGTGTTGCCTGCATTTGTTAAAACTGGGTTTCAGTGCGTCACTGGTGTATGCTTTAGTCCAGATGTGGTCAACAAGTGAAGTGCAGTGGAAAAAGATTTGTCATTGTTCATAAATTACATTGAGAATTGGTTCACAGTAGAGTAAATTCATACCTCTCTGATGTTCACTTCTATGTGTTAATGTGAAGTGCTGCTAACTTTATATCTGGCCTTGCACAGGCCGTTACCTGTGCAAGCTTAAAAAAACAGCCGCTGCTTCATTTGAATTGTTCATATGTCATGCTCTGCTTGTGAAATTACGGTTTCTCTGGCTTTTGTCAGCATGCTCTAAAACACATTGGGTGTGGATGAACATGAGACTGGAAACTGTTTGACCTTTTTAGTAAGTTTAATTTGTTTAAGCCTTTTTGCAAATACGCAGTCTTTTACAATCACTTTTTCCAGTCAAGTGATAAGATACTAAATCTTGTTCAATCACACTTCATCAAAAAATATGACTTTGAAAATTGCTTTGATCAGACGTGGGCGTCATAGTTTAAATTGATGCATTGCTTTTACACAGCCTTAGATTCTACCATAGCAGGGCGCTACTCCATAAACAAGTGTGCCTATTCATCTCTAATCATACTGAGAGGTCTTCAATTTTGGGGATGCAGTTTATTATAGAGAGACTAAACTACACTTAGTCACAGAATTGGCCTAATTGTTGACTGATAGTGTGTTGCACAGCAGAAACCAGTTCACAAAGTAGATGTTGATACAGATGGTAACAAACCTCAGTCTCCTCATATTTGAAACACTTAAAAGTATGTATAGCTTAAAATGCTTTCCACTTAAAATGGAAAGCCTGTGATTGCACTTAGACATTGGAAGTCAATTAACAAATGAAACATTGGCCAAAATTCTGTTATTTTAACACAGTAAACAGCACTACAGTAGGCCCATTGAACCCTTGGAGTTTTAGTGAGTCGACCTCTCCATAAGTTCCCTTGATTTAAATGGGCCTACTCTAGTAGTGGTTAAATGAGTTACTATGCTAAAATGAGCTGAAGTTAGAGTAGGCCCATTTGAATCAAGGAAAGTTGACTCAACAAATCCTTCCTGTTTCAATGGGCCTACTCTAGTGCTATTTACTACTCTAAGCAACAGGAGTTTGGCCACTGTGATGCAATTATGTAAATTCTAGAAAAGCTAAAAAGATTGGAACGATAGAGTAATGCTAACCACACTTTATAAGTGAATGATGATAGAGCACATCTGAGACAACTGAACTGAGTTTTGCTGGTGAGCTACAAATAGGTGGTTACCTAGAACAAGGATGCAGTGCAAATGAAATGAATAAGATTTTGAGGATCAATTACAGTGCTGTATAATGCTCTTAATCATGGCTAGCTGCCAATATCCAGGGAATTTTTCAAATTCCAATGCACGTTAGTATTTTAATATAGTTAAATGTATTCTAGATTTTATAAATATATTTAGCTGCTTTTTTGCTGCCCAAAGAAAGTATCATTTTCATGTATACTTTTTCATATTCCCGTTGTCTTTGTCCACCTCTTGCCAACTGCTGTTTCCAACTAGAACATGATCATCGGTTCCTTAACAACTAATTTTCATTTTGTAAAAACTGGATGAAAATGTGTAGCTCTCCAGATATCACTGTATATGCAGATGCATTGTAACATCCACTGTCACTTATCACTGACTATACTGTGGAGATGTACAGTCTTGGGTAGAAACTGGAAATGCCTTTCAGATAGGCAACACTTGATCTATTTGTAGCAGCCATCACCTTGACAGACAAAAGTGAGCCCAAAATTACAAAAAAAAAATAAATCTATTCCCTGTGTCAATTAATGAAAAGCAGTGCTTGCATTCGTTATCATTCTAGAGATGTCCTGTGAGGAAAGGGTGAGCTTGGCAGTCTGACTGCCTAAATTTAGATTGGATTGCCTTGCCTGTAAGACTGCATAGGAAAGTGCTAATCAAGTCCCTATTTCTTAAACTGCACATAAAGAAAGACTTTACTACTGGCTTTTGATTCTCTTTCTAAATATGTGCTGTGTTGATTCAGGTTCCCGACTCTGTTGCTTTGGTAAATGCAGATAGGTGACCTGATGACTGTAAACGTGCATTGATTTATGAATATTGAAGTTAATAGCTAGTCTGATGTCCTAGGTGGAATATTGCAGATTTAAATGCATCTCTGTTCTGTTTCAATAGAATTTCTATGGAATACTTAAACAGAAAATCTGTTTGAGGCAGTATTTCAAGTCAATTTCCTTATTAATAAAATGCCTTCCCCCCAAAGCCCAGCTGTTGTCCATCAAGTCCCTAGAGTGTAATACACAATCCTCACTGTCCAGTGTGGCAATTCCAACAGAACTTGCTGGTAGTGTATGCTGGCAACTTGGGCAAGCACAATCCATTAATCTCCATCCTTTTTTTTTCCCCAGAGGGGCTTCTTTAACTTGCCAGGATTGTGGCAGATTCTTAGTTCACTGCAGGTGTGATGACAGGTTTTTATTCAGTTGTGTTCAAAAACAGATTTATCTACTGCAAACAGTTTAAGCATATCTACTTCCAGTGGATGCAAAGTTCCAGTTATGATCAGAGAGTGAAGAGGATCGCCCAGCGCCACGGAAGTCATTTCCCATAAAGTACCTGAAGCAATCTTTTGGTCTGCTCCTCCCACTCTTGCTAAGCCAACACACACTGTATTTTCTGTAACTTCTGTAAAAACAAAGAACATTGAGTAAGTATACGTCAAAAAAGAACAAAAAACCTGGTTGTACTTGGCTCCTTTAGGCAGGAAACAGTGCTGCCCTCAGAACAGCACAAAAACACTCATTCCATCACACTAGCAGTCCTCTGAAGGCTAGGCAGTTCTTCAGGGTGGGGATTACACAGTAACTGAACAATGTTTGTAACAGTAGTTCACAATAGGATGTGGCAAACTTGGTAAAAGCCAAGCCTGGGAAGTGTATTACTGTATTCCTCTGTCCAGTGAAACATGTGAATCACAGATATAACAATCAATGAGCTAAACTGCCATCCCTGCAGTCATTAAGAGGACATAGTTCTGAAAATACAAGGTTTTGGCCTCCCAAGTTCTGAGGAACTTGCTGCAATATTTAAGTCAAAGGCTCAGGGAACATTTGTGAAATGTCTGGCCAGAAGCTAGAAAGTTGTTGCCACAGAGTTCTCTTTCTAATTGTAAATCTTTGCGTAAATAAATAAAATGCAATGCCTATTCAGGCATTAGTAGTATGGGCATGCGATAAGGTTGTGTAGCAGAAACACGGGGAAAGGATTCTGTGGTAATTCTCCAGAGGATCCAAGGAGAAACAAGGGCAGGGCTGCTCTGGAGAGCCCAGATAACCTGTCCCTCTGCATGATTCATGCTTCAGGTCTGTCCCCTTGCAGTGAGTCTCTGCAGACTGAGCAGGGCAGGGCAGTTTTGTGGCACCTCTGCCATGGGTGGGATTGGAGCGCTAGTGACTGCCTGAACCAGTTTGAGGCTTGCCTCCTTCCAAGAAGCTGGCCTGCTGATCAATGGGTCATGCTGGAGAACTAAGGCTGCTTTCTTGGCAGGCAGCTCATTTCTTAACTCTGGCATCACTTGGCACATAAGAGTGAAGGGTCTCCAATTTTTAAAATACTGACCCTCGGCTACCACAGCTCTGGGCCAGCCACTTTGTTATCAGTCCCACCCAATAACTTCTCTGTTGCTACAACAGGACACTGAATAAATTACTCATGCTAAAATATGTCCATATGGGCTGGCACTTTAAAAAACAAAACTAGTTTGTGGCTGGCTTGTGTGTAGGCCAGCGTTCTGTGGCCTGAGTTGTATGCCTACAGGCCCAATGACGTTCACTTTGCTGTGGATGAACCACAGTGGAAGCTTGGCCTCTGCCCAGGCTGTATTCTGCCAATTTTATGGAAAGTCCATCTCCATAGCAAATTGGGACTTTTCTAACTCTGCAGTAATTTCAACGAAAGCGCCAATTTTCAGAAGCTGGTTCAGCCTTCTCTGACCCAGCGGCCTTCAGATGCGCTAGGATAAAACAGTAGTCATTCCTTGGTTAGTTTGATGAGGGATGAAGTCCAAAATCTGGGAGGTCTCAGCTGGAGAAAAGGCTGAGCTAGTGGCATGAACGGATTTGCGTACCTGGTTCTTCCCCTTGTAGCCGCCTATTTCGGATGATAGCAAGAAGCTGTTCTGCTGCCTGATTCACACTCATGTAACGGGGTGGTTCATAAACCTTCTTCCCCCTGGTGGAAGAAAGTTTACTTTAGCAGGTCAATGATGGTCCCATACAGAGCTTGGAAAAATTCTGTGAGCCGTGATTAAAAAAAGAAAAGAAAACTTCCCAAGCTCTCTGCCCCCATTGGCCCCATCAAGAAGCAGTATCGTAGCACATGAAAGACGTACTGATTCTATCGCTGGTTGTGAAACTGAAAGTTTCAACACACAACTAGAGATGGGCACAAAGAGGAAAAATGGTGGTTCATCATGGTTTGTGGCTACCCATGAGCTACCACAACCCCCCCCCAAACAAACCAGTTCAAGGTTTGTTTTTTGATTTTGTGCTGGGGGGGTGGGTACCTCTGCTGCAGGCTGCTGGTGCCATCTTCAGAGGCAGCGGCAGGCTATGGGGAGGGAAAACAGGCCTGCTAACTCTATCCACGTGCCCACCTATCAGATGAATGACAGGCACATGCTCAGAAGCAGCAGCCCATCTTCATAGAACTAGTCTCTGTGCATGGCCCACCACCCAGCTGATAGGCAGTCACATGCGCAGAGGCAACGGCAGGCTCTGGGGAGGGAAGCCAGGTCCACTAGCTCTGCTCATGCACCCGCCACCCAAAAGGTAGGTGTGCGCAGTGTGCAGAGGTAGCAGGCCCAGCTTCTCTGCCAGGAGCCTGCCGCTGCCTCTGAAGATGGCACCGGTGGCCTGCCGCAGCTGCACAAAAGGCAGGACCAGGTAAGCAGAAGCAATGGGAAGGGGGCGGGCGGGCCATCCTGTTTTGCCAAAGCAAAATGAAGTGCCAAGCGGAAAAAAAGTTTGGTGCTTCACTTTGCTCCAGTAGAACGGGATCCCTGAACCAGGTCATGAACTGAACTGCGAACCAGCCTGGTTCTTTGATTCTTCTGGTTTGTGGTTTGGTTTGTGCCCATCTGTACACACAACAACTGTTAGATCAAAGCAAGATCCTCTGCACTCTGTCTCTGCAAGGAGTCCCTCCCATGTCTCTGAAAGCTCACAAGAACGGCATACAATTGAGAGTTCTCATTCGTTCACTATATTTCCCAACAGTGGGCCCCAGATGGTGCAACACTACAAACCATCATCCTCAGTTAATAGGACTAATATGGAGTCAGAAAGGCTGTGCTATTCAAAGGTCTATTGCTTCTGTAAGCAGAAGTTCCCTTAATTAACATTAGTAAAAGCTGTTGGTAGATCCTAGCCTCTTATGTTTTTGTTTTCATCCTTAATCTTTCTACAGAGCAGTACAGAAGTACAGAGGAGTAATAGATTTGGAAGGGACCTCAGAAACTATCTAATCCAACTCACTATATAGTGCAGGACCTACAAAACAGAATGCAAAGCATCATCTCTGGCAGACTGCCATCCACAGAAACATGGCCAACAGCTATCATGTTTTCCCAAAAATAAGATAGGGTCTTAAATTAATTTTTGCTCCAAAACAAAACAAAACAAAACAAAAAAACGCACTAGGGCTTAATTTCAGGGAATGTTTTATTTTTTTCATGTACAACCATCTACATTTATTCAAATACAGTCATGTCATCTTCTGGTTGCTGCACAATAGTAGAGGGCAGGGTTTCACTTAACTGGGGCTTATTTTTGAGGTATGGCTTATATTACGAGCATCCTGAAAAATCATACTAAGGTTTATTTTCAGGTTAGGTCTTATTTTGGGGGAAACGGGGTATTTAGCCCTACTTTTGAAGCTGATGGATAATATTTGTGCTGTCTTTTGACCAATTACAGACATAAAGCAAACTCTAGCTTCCAAAATTTTAAACAGCTTTATTTACAAATACTGGCAGGCTATAACTGTGTATGTTCAAAAAGCTACGTACAACAATTATCCTGCCAATCACCAAGGCACTTGCGTGCATGCATGCTACTCCTCTAGTGTGTCTGTTCTGAGGTTTTCACCCTCAGAATTATAGCTTCCCTGACAAAATGGAAAACATTCCCCTTCTAAGAGAAGCGCCACATACTGAACCACCTCCATAGTACCATCACAGTCCTCTATATTTCCAGACCCCTACTAATCTATTGTAACTATCACTCCATCAGAGAGCGTTCAATCTATGCCAAACTGGAAGGAAAGCCTGTATTTTTCCTCCATATACTATACAGTTACATAATTATAGGCCTAGAAGCCAGTTCTCAGGAATTGTTTTCTGCAAAGTTTGCCAACTCTGGAATTGGCTACACAATGCTTATGATGAAGTTCCAAAATAAATTTTCATCAGAAATTGTCAGAGAGGATGAATGTGAATCTAAGAGTGAGGATGTGTCCAAAAAAAATCCCCCCAAAATTCCAGTACAGATGGGCAGGGCTAAGGAAGCCAGGATGGAGGAAAAATAACAATACCACAAGTGGAATGGCTTGAAGGTCATTGCTACCTCACTTCCTGTGTTTTTCTAAAAGTCAAGACAGAGAGAATGTATACTGAGCCTCAAAAAATAAATAAATAAAACAAAAACTTGAAACTGACGTTATGAAAGAGCAGCAGCTCAAATTACCTTCTTACTCGTGCTGATGGAAGAAGGCAGCTGAAACTGAATTGAGTTTAGCTACAGATAAGAGACAAAGCCAAATTCTGTTCAAGATATTTTGCCATGTGAAGTAAAGCTCTTACACATCAACAGCAGCAGCCACCACCACCACCTCAAACAGGTACTATCTTTCCGATACCAACATCTTCTCCTTGTGATGCTGCCGGAAGAAGGCTCGTTTACTCTGCTATGGGGTGAGCCACTGCGGCCATCTTGTTGTTTTTGGCTCAGAACTCTAATCATCCTCAGTCAGCCTAAAGTCAATAGTACAAGATTGTGGAAGCTGAAGCACAAAAGCATCTGGTAAGCAGGCCAGCCTCAGACAAAACTAAGCTGGATGCTACTTAGTGGCAAGGCTCCTCTTAAGAGTTTGTGTGGACGCAGTAAGCTTTGCTTGCAGTTCAGAACAGGGAACAGACTGTACACCTATCAATCCTTCTTTTCTTCATGGAAGCTAATGCACCCCATGGAGCCTGTAATCCAGTCACTCCCCCATTATGTGGGTAAGAGATATTAGTCATGTAAAAAAAAAAAGTACCGTATTTGCCGCCGTACAAGGCGACTGGCCGTATAAGACAACCCCCCAACATTTCCACTCAATATATAGTGGACGGCTCTGCTGCGGCACTGGCGGCGGCTGCCCAGGGCTCTGCCCGGGCCCGCTCTGGAAGTTCATGGCTGGCGGGGAGGGCGAGGAAGAGGGGAAGAGCGTGCGTGCGCCAGCTGGCTCAAGCAGCGAGAGGGTGAGGAAGAGGGGAAGAGGCTGGGTGGGCGGTGGGAGGAGGAGGAGGAAGAGGGGAAGTGGGTGGGTGGCGGGTGAGCGACTGCCTCCATCCCGACCAACTGCCTGCCTGCCCGCCTGCCTTCCTCCCCGGCAGCGGCTCCTTCCTGGCCCAAATGAAGTGCACCCGGCGTACAAGACAACCCCCCCCCCCCTTGGGGGCATTTTTTTGGGGCCAAAAAAGTCATCTTGTACGCCGGCAAATACGGTACACCCTCTGAATTCTATGGTTTTATGTATCAGGATATAATAAACAATCTGGTCCTTGGCAGGTCTGGAAATTACTGTAAGTAAATACAACCCCAGATAACACCACCACATGACATATTACGTGATTTCATGACTTATTTAACAAAAATAAAGCCAAAATGGAGACACCGTGGGTGAAACACTTTAAGATTCAATAGCTTGTATTTATTATTTTATTTATTTATTTTATTTATATCCCGCCTATCTGGTCGGATCAGGACCACTCTAGACGGCTAGAACCATCTTGTAGAACCATCTTTAGCAGAATTAACTTGAAGTACAGTACTTGTTTTCTGTATGACTTCATCAGTCTGCCACATTGTTTCAGAGGAATTTTGGCCCACTCTTCTTTACAATATTGCTTCAGCTCATTGAGGTTTGCAGGCATTTGTTTATGCACAGCTCTCTTAAAGTCCCGCCACAGCATTGCAATTGGATTGAGCTCTGGATTTTGACTGGGCCACTGCAACACCTTGATTCTTTTTCCCCCTCAGCCATTCTGTTGTATGTTTGCTGGTGTCCTTGGGGTCACTGTCCTCTTGCATGACTCAATTTTGGCCAAGCTTTAGCTATCAGATAGATGGCCTCATATCTGACTCTAGAATATTCTAGTACGCAGAGGAGTTCATGGTCGACTCAATGACTGCAAGGTACTCAGATTCTGTGGTTGCAAAAACAAGCCCAAATCATCACCCCTCCACTACTGTGCTTGACAAAAGGTATGAAGTGTTTGTGCTAATGTGCTGTTTGATTTTCACCAAATGTGGCACTGTGCATTATGGCCAAACATCTCCACTTTGGTCTCATTTGTCCAAAGGACATTGTTCCAGAAGTCTTGTGGTTTGTCCAGATGCAACTTTGCAAACACAGCCCATCCTGCCATGTTGTTTTTAGAGAGAAGAGGCTTTCTCTGGGAACCCTTCCAAACAAATCATACTTGTTCACTCCTTTCCTAATTGTACTGTCATGAACTTTAGCATTTAATATGCCAACTGAGGCCTGTAGAGTAACTCTTGAGTTTTTTGCAATTTCTCTGAGCATTGCACAGTCTGATTTTAGGATGAATTTGTTTGGATGTCCAATCCCGGGAAGATTGGCAACTGTCTTGAATGTTTTCCACTTGTGAATCTTCTTCCTCACTGTAGAATGATGGACTTTAGATTGGAAATGGCCTTCTAACCCTTCCCAGATTGATGGACAGCAACAACTGCTTCTCTACAATCACTGCTGATGTTTCCTCCCTGGCATTGGGTTAACACACACCTGAATGCTCCAGACTAGCAAACTGCTAAACATTAGGCTTTTACAAAAGTGGTCACGTTTGCTGATTGATGATCAGTAACTCACGGGCATTTGGTTAACAGCACTTGGATGCTACTTAGCCTCTTAATTGCTATGGAAGCAGTAAGGGTATACTTAGTTTTTCACACATGGCTTCTCCATTCTGTCTTTATTTTTGTAAAATAAATCATGACACAGTGTAATATGTCATGTGTTGCTATTAATCTGTGGTTGTATTTACCTAATTTCCAGACCTGCTAAGTACCAGAAGATTTTTATTATGTCTTGATACAAAAAACCATAGAATTCAAAGAGGTTGTACTCCCCCCCCCATTATTGTATTGTTACCAATGAGAACAATCAACCTCCAGATCTTCCAGAATTCTTGGCTAATTTGAACCCCTCAATGCAAGAAGAATCCATCTGGCCTCCAGTTCAATTGTCTTGAGTGACATGCTGGAAGATGCATCCTGCAATTAACTGCTATCTATGATCCCATCTTAATTTGCATTCCTAGTACCAGGACTAAGCTAAGAATGGTGTGCACACACTGCCACATGCCAACAGCACATGCAAATATTCCAAGACAACTTACCTTATGAGATTTTCCACTGACTGTTCTTTGACTTTAATGTCTGTAGAAAAAGAAGTGGAAACATACTTGAAATTTATGGAATATGTTTTAGCACCTTTAGGGATTTTCCTTCTAAGGCAAAAGCTGCTTCTGGTACAGGATCCTCTGCCTTTATCCTACACATACACACACGTAAAGGTAAAACCTCACCAACTCTGTCCAAGGTGCTGGGACTTGCAAGAAAGTTTGTTTCTTTTCAGCAGGGTGGAACATTCCAACCAGCCATGCATTCTTTCAGAAACTCCCATTCTGTTCCACTTTACCCTACAGTTTTTCTTCTTCTGAAGGGGCCCTTCAAACAGGGTAACACTAGAGCCTTGTGGCGCAGTGGTCAAACCGCTGTACTGCAGCCAAAACTGTGCTCATGACCTTGGGTTCAGTCCCAGGTAGCTGGCTCAAGGTTGACTCAGCCTTCTATCCTTCCGAGGTCGGTAAAATGAGTACCCAGCTTGCTGGGGGGGCAATGTGTAGCCTGCATAATTAACTTGTAAACCGCCCAGAGTGCTTGAAGCACTATAGGGCGGTATATAAGCAGCACACTTTGCTTTTTGCTTTTTTACCCTCTTGTTTCTTAGTAGCTATGGTAACTCGGCACCTGACCTCACCATTGTATGTATAAATGGGACCAGCAACTCTTGCTGCAGTGTGGAGCATACCTTTCCTGGGTTCCAGCTAGGCAGCCAACAAACTTTGCCCTCTTCCAGGATATTCCATTAATTTTCTCCAGTTCTGGTTTTCTTCCACCTGCCAACCAACTTTTTGCACATTCTCTTTGGGCCGTTTAGAGATTCCCTTCCTCCCCCTCCCCTTTCACAATATATGAGGTTTTCCAAGCCTGCTGCTCTTGTTCTTCTGTATGAGTGGTATTTCTTTGGTTGTATCAAGATCCACAGAGAGAATGTACACACAATATACAGAATATTGCTCCAAACGTTCTCTCTCCTAGATTCTTCAAGGAACAATGTGTGACAACGTGTGATACAAGGACAAACTTACTTAGCTGAAGCCTGCTAAATGCACAGCAGCCATCAGAAGCTAAAGTTACAATTGGAAGCCAGCACCACTGTACAGTGGTGCCTCGCATAACGAAGTTACAATTGGAAGCCAGCACCATTGTATTTAAAGAGACTGAAGGGGTTGAAGCTAAAGCAATCTGTAAAATCCTGAAAACGTTTCACCCTAATATTTTCTAAGTGCAAAATACACAGTGTACGTCATGTTTGTTCCAATCCAGGTTCCCGTGGCTATAGGAGTGTGCGGTGCTGAGTTCCTCCTCCTCCTCCATGCACCCAAAGAGAGTATTTCCAGCCCTTTTGGTGCCAGTCACAGTGGAACCCCATGCGGGGGTGGAGTTGCACATGAGGCTGGACTTGCACACGTGAGGGGTGGATTTTCAGCAGGGATGACAATTAGAGGGAACATTGGTTCCAATAATCAAAAGTTACTGAATCGGTATTCTAAATTAAAGTAACATGAATGAGTGGATAGGCAGAAACCAGAATCGTCAAAAGAAGACAATATGTTGTAGAGCAGAATGTCAGACCTTTGCCAGTTTAGAAAATCACTGGACTTGCACACGTGAGGGGTGGGTTTTCAGCAGGGATGAAAATTAGAGGGAACATTGGTTCCAATAATCAAAAGTTACTGAATCGGTATTCTAAATTAAAGTAACATGAATGAGTGGATAGGCAGAAACCAGAATCGTCAAAAGAAGACAATATGTTGTAGAGCAGAATGTCAGACCTTTGCCAGTTTAGAAAATCTGACACATTTATCCTACAAATGCTCAAGCTACTTTATTTCATTTCTGGATTTGGTAATGTCTTTCTTTATTTCATTAATAGTTTAGCACTGATTCACTCTTTGGCATAGCTAAAGGTCCAAAGATCCTTTTTCTAGTCATTCTGTAAAATTCCCTAAGCTCAGATGTATTCAGTCTCTGGGAACCACACCACTGAAACCAAAACACTGCAAATAAGTTTTACAGGGTTCAGAAACAATGTGCCAAACATCACTTTTCATTAACAAAAGGGCTCCTTCCTTCCAATTGAAAACTTCTGGATTCAGCAGAAGGAACCTCCTGGCAAAACGGGTGGGGGTGGGAGCGTCAACCTTTTCTGCAGTTGATTTATCATTCCCTCCTGCAGCTATAGGCACCTTCAGAAAATTTTGCTCTGTATGATCTCCTAATCTTCTGAAGCAAGTTTCTGGAGGGCACAAAAGGCTATAGGAAGAAAGAATCAGCAAAAATCCACTGCTCCTCTTTTGCCAGTAAGAGCAAAGTCTGGGTCCAGCCACTACATTTTCAAAGCAATTGAACATATCTTTCTTTATTTTCTTGTTAAAATTAATTATTTTTTTAGGTTCTACATACTACAGCCTATCTTTCAGACTCTACATAGTTAACTCTTGACTATGGAACCTAGAAAATAAAAGTTTTAAATTTTAGATGGACCTTTTTCTCTACAGCTTTTTCTCAATGCAAATAATCAAGCTATGCATGAATAAGAACAGAACAGACATGTGTAGGTCACTTGAGTTCCTGCAAAATGTACACATACGCAATGAAGAATTAAATATAAAAAGAGAATCTTACTTATAACAAATAGGTTCTGTTCCTTTCCCTGCTACAGTACCATTGACGCTGAAGATTCTATTTATACTCTTGTAGTTGTAGAAGGGGTAGCTGTGTTAAGCCGTGCAAGCATTATAGGTAAAAGCAAAATAAAAATCAAAAAGACAAAAACGTTGTGGCACCTTAAAGACTAATTTTTATATCTTTTCAATGTGAGCTTAGCCATGAAAGCTCACAATAAAAAAAAATATAAAACTTAGTCTTTAAGGCTTGAAAAAAGGCTTGAAAACGCAGTCATCCACTCATCTGTGACAAGTGAAAAAATGCTTCTCAATGAGTCACAGCTCCCTCTCTGCCTGCCTCCTTAACCTCTGCCTCTCTCTCTCTCTAATCCTGCAGTCCTCCCCTCCCCCTCCTATTGCGAAAGGAAAATTGCCCTCTTCTCGCAAGAAGAGAGCTCGAATCGTATATAGAGATATAGCCCTGCAGGAGAATGCAGAATAGTCCCATGCTGGAGAATATGGAGATTCCCTGCTCCCAATTTCAACTGAATGAGGACACATCCTGGGGTGGGAGGAAACCGTGGTTTTTAAGAGGCCGGGCGCTTTTGCTTTCAGTTTTATTTTTTGCTGGAGACACTAAAAAGAAAGGCATTCAAAATACAAGTTTCATGATCTCACAGGCATGCAACCGAAATCTGAGGGCATAAATCAGTGATTCCCAATCCCAATAAATTGCAAGGCTATAGTCCGGTCATGCTGACTGGTGAAATTTTTGACACACTAAAATTTTTCAAGCCCTGGAAATCATCTTCATCAAGTATGATCCTTGATTACACATGCAGCTGTTCCTTACCAAGCAAGCAGAGTGTGTGCATCCCGTTTCTTCTGTTTTTTGCGATTTTATCGAAAAAGCTTTCAGGCTTCCACGTATCTGTCCAGAAAACTATAGAAACTGTTTCTCCAAAATTGTATAGCTGCCAAGATTTGGGGGTTAGGAGGAAACATAAGAACAATATTAGATCAAATTCGGAGTACAGCTATTAAAAAGAACATAAAATCTGGTTAGAAACACCATCTATACATCAGTTTTGTTAAACAGCACTCTTTTAGATCAGAAACAACTCATGTGGGATGGAAGAGGCTTTCTGGATTCACTTACTATGATCCATGAGATGTCATATACGCAACTAAAAATGGGCGAAATGAACATAAGGTATAGCTCTTGCAAATACATACAGGTACAATCAGCAAGGAAAAAAGAACTGGCTTCAGTTGCTTTACAAGTATGTCTGTTTAGAGTGAAAGTTATACTACTATGCAATGTGTGAAATGGCTATAAGTGTATATGTAAGACAATTCAGTTGTACAACTTGAACTAACGATAACACACAAGGCAGCTTTCATTGTAGGAGCAGCAATATGTAGAAGGAGACAGTGCTCATACCCACAAGAGGAAAGCCTGGGAAACTTGTAGAACAGACAGAGATCCTTCTGGTAGTTTTGACAAGCAAGGGGCTCCCAAGAAGGCAATCCTGGGTTGGCTGTTCATAGAAGCTTCACTGTTCACCATATATCACCAGCTTTAAAGGGCACTTTCATAAATCTGCTTTATTAGACTAAGGCCCTTCTCCCTGCTCTGCTGGTTAAGAGGCACTAGGTTCCATTTCGAGTTGAGATCATGCCCCTGTGGCAAAGAGGCTGTACTTCTGCAGAAGGACTAACGTACCCTCTAATTTTCAGCTCCGCTGGGCGGGGCTCCACCTCTCTCTCTCTCTTTGCTTTGCCCTTGGGTGCGCGCGAGACTCCATGCCTCCGTGTGCTGGGTTCAGACCAGAACCTAATGTGATCACTGCACAGAGAAGGAAGGTAGCTGCACAGAGGGAAGTGGACTCATGTGTGTCCTCAATTTAACAGGAAACTGGAGCAGGACCATTGCTGTTAAGGTAGAAAACACATCTTTCATGCTGGAAATCCCAGGTTCAATTTCAGGTTTCCACGTGGGGCTGGAGAAGCCCACCATCTGAAGCCTACTGACAACCCCATAGACCACAGGGCAGCTACCCACAGCAACCCTCCTAAGTGCAGCCTCTGGTATCTCTGTACCATTATTGGAGTGAAAAACTGGAATGGGCAGGAAAGTGCATTCCAAACAGAGTGTAGTACCCAAAAAGCCAGCTCATACCTCACTCTAGGCACACAGTCTTGGAAGCTGACTGACACATGTGCCAGCCAGTCTACAATGATGCTCCAGGTGTCACTGACGTGCCTTATTTCCTAGATACTGGCTCATCTGTTTCTCCTGCCTTGATTTGTTTGAGTGTGTGATTCACCTATGTCAGCGGGGAGACAGAGACAAAATGCATGATTGAACTGAAGGATACAAAGAATATACTGCTCTTAGTCCAGAGCTTGGACATATTACTTCCTGGACTACAGTCCCCAGAATTCTGGGAACCCCACAACTTTTCCACATGCTGTTGGAATCCTTTTTTCCTCAAGGAATGCAGCCATCAACTCTGAAAAGTGTGCCTATCCCTTCTGCAGACAGTAATGAATTCAAGGAATTACTGGTCTGACTTTGCATAAAATGGTCTGACTTTGCATAAAATGCTTCCTTTGTCTAAGACACTTATACAGTGTGCTTAGTGAATGATTCTTAGAATATTACCCAAAAACATGTTCTTAAATACTATTGTTGTGCAATCCAGAAAGAGGCCAAGAGTTTCAGATTTGACATTTCACAACCAAGATAGCCCTGCCAGGAATTTGAGAAAAGTTACTCAAAATAGTGAGAAGGTCAAGATGCAAGTTTTCAGTTCTTCCATATTCAGCTTTCTCCTCCTCTTTTAAAATTTTTTTTTGATATTCAGCTTCCTGCCTTCTACCACAGCACATAAAGCTGGCTGGATGCTTCATAATGGAACTCAATGAAAAGTGATTTTTTTTTTTTAAAAAAAAAGGCAGCTGATATAACATTAAATTGGTGCTTGCAAGCCTATCCTATCCATCTCCACTGTTAAACAGATGAATGGCAGTTTTGAATTTGTGGCAGTAAAGGATGCAGGAAAAAATATGAGAAGGGAGTTGGAATGCAAAAGGGTGAGTGAAAGATTTGGATACTTCTGAAGGACAGAAAATGTCCACTGTGGAAACAAAATCCCATAAAATGATGTGGAAGAACTAATCCTGAAAAACTACAGTGAAGGTTATCAATACACCTTGTTTGAACCCTGGCCAGGTAGCTGACTCCAACTTCCCCTCTGCTTGTAGGGCCGTTACTGGGAGAGAAAGTTAGGTTGGTGTCTCTTGGCCCTACCCAACACCTTAGTCTGTGCCTCTGCTAGGAATTCCCACTGGGGTCAGCGGAGCATACGTCCGAGTAGACACCTGTACAGGCAGCCTCTTAACACCCTATATCTGTGCAGACTTTCCTTTTCTACAAGAATTCTGAAAGCCAGTATTAAACAAGTCAAGGGGAACTGCAGTAATGAGGGGATCAGTTGAGTTCTCAGAGGAGTTTTAATAACTTGCAACTGAGAATGGAAAAGGAATTTGTTAGGTTCAAATTTCCTAATGAAAATACCATCTCTCATGGTCACACTTCTCAAAATTGGCCATGGGGAAAAGCACATCTTGCCGTACATTTCAGTGAAGATATGCATGACTTTACAAATACACATATTTCAAAATGTGCACAAACATGCATATAGAAAAATACACACACATTTTAAAAGACTGAAATCTAGTCACACAGTAAGTTGCAATTAGAGTATAGAGTCAATAAAACTTTTAGGAGAGTTGACTCACCAAACCCCACACCAATAAAACTTATAGGAGAGTTGACTCACCAAACCCCACACTGATTCAGTGGGCCTACCCCAGTTGAACTGGATTTCAGCCTTATAGCAGTTGAACTGAACAGCCTTATAGCAGTTGAACTGAACATAAATCTGCACATATTTGTGTTGTGTGTGCACATACAAATTTCTATGTGAGAAGAAAAAAGTCTTAAAAAACAGAATAGGATAAGAATGCCAGTAGAATGGTAAGAAATTCAACAAAACTGAGACCCTTTTTACATCCCTATATCAACTGCTGTGGAAAACACTTTTCTCATTAAAAAGGAATACTTAGGCATGCCATGTGTACATGTACACATATCTGATAATCCTGGACCAGTCGGGTTTCCCAGAATTGCATACTGCAGTGTATAGTGATGATGTTGTTGATGATGTGCCATCAAGTCAATTCTGACTTATGAGAATACTCAGATGTGGTTTACCATTCCCTTCTTCTGAGGACATATTGGGGCTGTACAGCCAAGGCCATATAGGCTAACTCTACTTCACAGGAGGCACAGTGGGGATTCGAACTCTCAGCCTCTGCTTCCACAGCCAGATACCTAGCTTGTGTATAGTACCCCCATATTATGTGTTTCTTTCAGGTCACAATGGGGTAACACCCAAGATAGCTGCAGCGACTGTAACATATGGGTTTGCTCTTTTGCTATCAGCTTTCATCACATTTGTACATATTCAAACAACTTCTTCATCTACTAAGTAAATCAGTGTTCTTTTGTTAAGTGTGCCAAATTCTATCTGAGGAACAACCCACAAAAACATGATGTCTGCTCATCTGGAATTATTTTCCATAAGAGTCGACTTATCAAGTTCACCTTGTTTTATTAAGTCTACAATAGCTAAGACTATGGATTTAGGACAGCCTGTTAGGTCTCTGGTCCATGACGCATTAAGCTCCACTTCAGACCTCATTTAAGCACAACTACTTTGATATCATCATCATTTTGGAACTGCAAAGCTGGAGGGGACCCCATGGATCGTTGAGTCCAGCCCCTGCTGAGGAGGCACAATGGGGAATCAAACTCCCAACCTCTGGGTCCACAGCTAGAGGCCTAAACCACTGAGCTATCCATATATAATTATCCAGGATAAAAATACTTCTACATCTCAATTCAAGTGATTTTACAAAAGGCTCAGAAATAATTATTTCCTAATTAGTCTGTAACAGGCCCTGCGCATATTGCTAGAGCAGAAAAGATGGACATAGTACTGAAGAAGGGACCACATCAATTAAGAGTTAATTAGTATTTCCAATTTCCTATTAACAAATGAAATGAACCATCTCATCCTCCCAAGTTGAAATAAATTGAAATAAAAGAGCCAAGAAGATGAAAAATGCACATTCATAGCAGCAATGCAAGATCTTGGCAAAAATCAAGAAATAATCCTTTCAAAACACAATTTCTATTTTTGCAGCATAGTTCCCCAAAATTAATACTATATCAGCCTTAACAGTAAATACTGCATTTCTTCAGATATCTGTTTAAAAATTCCTTTAAAATATATCTTCCAATATTTTTTTAAAAATCAAATACTCAAAATTTAAAGAGGCTAAAAATCAGGAACACAGCTCCATTAAAACCCTCGGAGAACAAAATTTCTTAATGTATCCTCTAAAACTAATCATACTAACATCTGTATTTCATGTGTTGCTCTGCCTTCTGTATGACCATTTCAGTTTTTGAATGGACACTTCAAAGGCAGCTCCATGTACAATATAGTGCAAGTAGTATAACCTGGATATTAGCAGCACATGAATGATACTAATCTGGTTACTTCAGCCCAGAAGGACTGTAGTTGGTGGAAGTTACTTTGTATTTAGACAATATCTGGGGACTGAGAACTCAACTGTTTTTAGTAAGGGTGCAATCCTACAGAAAATAAACTGAGTACCACTTCTAAGTGTCCCCAGGCACCCATGTAGTAATTCCGTGGTTTCTCCTGACATTTCAGTTAAAGAGCAGAGTAAAAACACTTAGCATCATCATCATCATCTTAGAACAGCAGAGCTGGAAGGGATCCTATGGATCATCGAGTCCAGCCCCTGACAAAAAGGCACAGTGGTCAATCGAACTCACAACCTCCGGCTCTGCAGGCAGAGACCTAAACCACTAAACTATCTAGCAGTCCAAATAAGGGTGTATAACAGGTAGCCTGTAGGGCATGTGTAAGCCTCAGGTGCCCCTATTTGTCCTTTCATCTGGCAATACAACTGCAGCTACCAATAGTATCCCTCTGCCAAGACTATGGTGGCATTGGCACAAAACAGCTGATCTCTCCTTCTTTTGTTGAGAAAGGAGTCACTCTGAACTTCAGACTAGCAGGACTCTTTGGTTTGGAAGGGTGCTCTGGTGCCCACTGCACCACAGAGAGCACAACAAACCTGTATTACTGTGTTTGCACTGCAGAGAGCTGACATACTGAATTTTAGGTGCAGACATAGGAGCTGTCATCATTTCAGCATTAGGGCAAAAAACTTACTGTATTTTTTGCTCCATAAGACACACCTTTCCATAAGACACACCAATTTTTTAGGAGAAGAAAACAGGAAAATATAATCTGTTTTCTTCGCTCCATAAGACGCACAGACTTTCCACCCCCCCTGTTTTGTGGGAAAAAAGTGCGTCTTATGGTGCGAAAAATACGGTACTTGAGATATACTCTCATTGGGGCTTTTTGGGAGAATGGATCCCAATACAACCTCCAAATCTAGGAATCTGTCCATCTCTGCTTCAAAGAAATAAATATATCAATATGTAACTGATTATGTAAATGGAGAGACATATTTTATTCAAAGCAATAAGGCACAAATAATATTGCTTATCTTTTGTTACCTTCTGTTGCCCATTCAGATGAAGTGATAGACTGAGATAACAGAATTCTGGACCATCACCCCTTCAGATTGTGGCATGAATTCTATGTGTGAATGCTTCCACCCTCCTCCCAAAAGATCTTACTAAAGTATAGTAATTAACACAAGGGAAAAGATTACTCAAAATCGTTCTGATGCATTGGATGAGTGCATCCAATACCTTTAAAAATACACTCAAAACAAATATTCAATAAAAAATACAGTCAAGTGGTTTGCAGTGCGACACTTCTCCATCTAAATGAGCGTAAAGAACAGAACAGTTTAATTTAGGTTGATATTCTGTGCCATTTATCTCCATTGGGCACATACACATTTGTGCTCTAATCCAGTCTGCATGGTGGCAATGTTTTTTTCAAGCACTTATTTACAGAGACTATGAGAAAGCTCAAATTTGCAAATATAGTTTTAAAAACTGCTTCATAAGATACCAGAGAATTCTTTTACATAAGCCGAGTCCATGAAAAGTTACACCACAAAAATTTTGCTAGTATTTATGATGTCAAAAGACTCTCTTCATTGTCTCATTCAATTATTGCCACTCCCGAATGTTCATGAATCATGAGTTCGTTTTCCCTCCTTTAATCTCTATGAAATGGGCTTGAATAATTGCAAGACAGATTCAGGGTCTATTGTAATTCATTACACATAAAATTATTAAGTGGCTCAGACATCACATGGCTGCTGACTTCCCTGACAGAAGCAAACCATAGCCCTCAGCTTGCCCTGTGCATGTTTTCTGAGAACCCTACAAAGGTGTTTCCTGTTTTTCACTGGCGGCGTAGCTGCCTGGGCACCCAAATTATATCCATGTGAAGACAGAGACGTCAATGCTTATTCATGCATTGGATAGAAATGGGGTGGAGAGACCTGTGTCCCTCCAGATACTGAACACCTACCAGTCTCAACTAGCATGGCTGTGGTAATGGATGATGGGGATTGCAGTTCAACAGCATCAGGAAGTCCCCCCAAACTCTGAATGAATTCATATAATTCAAGAAAATATCTCTAATTTTAATTTTAAATGCAAATTCAAATTTCTGCAAGCAATGTTCACCTGTCTATCTCCAACATCTAGAACTCACTGGCAGTTTTATTCAGCCATCACAACTTTCACAGAGTCCTCTGCAAACTTCACTAAGCCTTGTGAAAAAGCTTTTAAAGCTAGGGGCCACTGCTGCATCTCACGGTAATTAGGCATTCTGAGAAGGAGAACTTCCTTTGCTTCATCCTCAACCTATTACCAAGCAATTTTACTGCGTGATTTATTCATTTATTTAGAATATATCACAATGCAATGTTCAGGCTACACTGCCTTCACATCCTGGCTTATAAGATTCCAAAACACATCAAAATGTAACTTCAAAATCAAGAACATTAAAAACAAGAAAATATTTTCAAATGCAGAGTAAATTTAAAGCAAATGTAGACTGAATAAACGTAGACTGTTTTCAGAGTTTTAAGAATAAACAACAGTGATGAGGTCATCTGTCTCTGTGGACCGGCATTGGGCCACGGACCAGTGGTTGGGGGACCCCAGGACTAGATGACCTTTAAGCTCTTCACCAACCACAGAATTTTTTGACCAAAGATTAGAGAGACCCCTGGACTAGATGACCTTTAAGCCACAGAATTTTTTGACCAAAGATTAGAGAATGGAGGAAAGAAACAGAATACTTCTAAAATCAGGCAAGATATGAACTTGATGAAATGACCTGGGCACTTAATACAAATTGCTGATGCCATAATAAAATCTCTTAGCTTTTGAGGTGCCATAAAGCTCTTGATTTTGCTGCAACAGACTGACATAGCTACTTCGTTGGAATTCATATTCATGAGGCAGTTTGAAAAACTTGTTCAACTTGGATACGTACCAAAATATGATGAAGTGGGTAACTTTGTTCCATGTAAGGAAGGGTGGTTGAAAACTTAAGAGTTTATGCAAAACTGAAGACATGTACAAAGTTCACCACAACAAAAGTGAAAACGATCTGCAGCTTTAATTTACTCATGTAATCAATGAACTGGGGCATTTTGGTTGTACCTTAAAGAAAAAACTGCCCAGCTGTTAATGTTCTTTTGCTTATGAACCAGGACTGGAATAAATTACTCTACAGTTGTGCCTCGCTAGACGATGATAATCCGTTCCCCTGAAATCGCTGTTTAGCGAAATCATTGTCTAGTGAAAAGCATTTCCCCATTGGAATGCATTGAAACCTGTTTAATGAGTTCCAATGGGGAAGAATTGTCGTTGTCTAGCAAAGATCGGCCATAGGAAAGCCGCTTTGCGAACCGCTGATCAGCTATTTAAATAGCTGTCTTGCGAAGCTTAGGTCCCGAAAACACCCGTTTTGCGAGCGCGGAGGGAGCTGTCAAAATCGTTGTCTAGCGAAAATTGGTTTGCAAAGCAGGGACCAAACATTGTCCAGCGAAATTCCCCCATAGGAATCACTGTTTTGTGAATTGCTATAGCGATCGCAAAAAGTCAGTGTCTAGCGAGAAAACTGTCATGCGGGGTAACTGTCTAGCGAGGCACCACTGTATTTACAGAGTTTGCAGTAACATCAAATCCCCACTCTACCAGGAAAACTCACTTAAGGGTGGTGGTAATAGTAAAGTTACTCTTTGAATTTCACACATATAAAAAACCTTATGAGGGTTGCCATATGTCATAAGCAACTTAATGTCACATAACAATTATTTATTTTCCATGTATTCCATATGGGCAATTAAGGCTAATTGCTTCTTACAACTGAGTACAAGTTTGTATCTTCTCAACCATATAATATCAGCTCCTACCCACTATGGAGAATGCCTCTTAGATTATGAGTTTCATTACAACGAATAAAGGATATATCTAGTTCATGCAGCGATTTATGTCCATTTCTATTTTACACACAATGCAAAAAACACTGGAAGCTCAATTGTGCAGTTTTGAGAAGCTGGGGTGGTGGAGCAGGGAGGTGAGAAGAAGAAACGTAACAAAGTCTGGAAAAAGTCTAGAAACTTTCCTACATGTTTCCTGCACGTTTAAGTGTTTCCCAAGAATTTGACGGCCAAAATTCTTGTCTGTATTCTGCAGAAACCTTGTTACAAGCCTGCATTGCTTATGTTTTGCAGAAACCTTAGTTTGCAAATTCAGAAAGAGAGAGAGAGAGAGAGAGATAACAGTAGATTCTGAAAACCAGGAAAGGGCATGACTTTCAGAGTTGTTTCCCATACTTTCTGTAGAGCACATCACCACATGCTTCCTGCAGGGAAGAAGGCAAGGGCTCTCTCTGTGTGTGTGTCTGTTCTGTGCTGTCAAGTTGGAGCCGACTCATAGCAACTCTAAGAGGGCTTTCAAGGTACTTAAATGAAATATTTAAGCAGTGTTTTACCAGTTCCACTCCCCCAATCAGTTTCCATGGCTTAAGAAGGATTTGAACCCTGCCCTCTAGGGTCCTAGTCCATAACTTTATCCACTACACTACACTGGAAATTTGCTGTTGTTTCAGTGAAAATGTCACACATGCAGAAGAGGTACCTGTAAACCACAGCAGCCAACAGCATTCAGGATGGAGGCATTATGGATGACTCTGTAGGGAATCCCAAGCTTCACTGCCCGGAGAATAAGATCACTATGTGTAGTTGCCCTGCAGTGAGGAAGGAATAGTTTATATGAGTCATACAAAGGACATTACCAGTCAATCTGTTTCAGCAGAAAACTAATAAGCAAGAATTTCCCACATTATTATTGTTTATTATATTGATCTAATACCATAATTATATATATATTTATAACAAAACATAGTCCACACCATTGGAGATAATATCTGCCAAAGGTTCCTGCAGTCACCAGTGATTCCCAGGGTAGAGTTATACAGTACTTGCAATGGCAAAAGCAGCTGCTGTTGATACACTGATGTTGCTTCAGGGTTTCTCTGCTCCAAACCTGAAAAATTCAGATCAGGAACAGGCAGAATGCAGACTGAAAGCCACCTGGAAACCTCTGGATTATGATCTGTACAATGACATGGAGTTCTGACTTTTTAGGATTTTATGACAGGAGCAACAATTTATATCCCTCACCCTACAGTATTACAATCACAGGTCAGTACTGAGATGTAGAGTTGCATTTGCAAATGAAGGTCATCCCATCATATGGCCCACTCTAAATGTGTAGGCTTTTCTACTGGAAATTAACTCTACTCTCTGAACCACCATTTTGCATCCACCAAGCCACTAATTTGCACATACCGCCACATCACAGACCTCAAGGCTAAACCTTATCCACATCTGGTGCAGATGCTATACTGGCATGTTTTAAAAGAACGTAGCGGTACCCTGATGGGCTGGGCTTGGGCGCTGTCTATTATAACTCATGTTTATGCCAGTTTGCGATTGGGCATATCAGTGGAACACCATAGTTGTTGTTTATCATACAAAGGAGACATGTACTGTGGCTCTGTCCTGGAGGAGATGCTATCCACGATATAGCACAGAAAGCATACTCCAGGTCACTGCTGGTTAACAAGATAACAAGAATGTTACCCTGTGGTTCTCACCCAAGGATAGGATTCTCACTCGGGGACTGTAGGGTGCTTTGACTATATTGCAATCGGCATATGATGCCTTTAAGGAGGATTTTTTTTTCTGGGAGAGACTTTTCTGGACTGAGGTGAATATCAGTCAACTCCAGTTAGAGTGAAGTGTTCTGTCAGCTATGTAACTAGCCAGTTAGTTAGTAACGAAGCTAGTTCACCAGTATTTACTTCATAATTAGAGGAAGTTTTATTTTAATTTTTATAAAGCCAAACTTAATTTCCTCACTCTGCCCCAAGAGAGTGCACATTTAGTTCTCCCTCTCTGCTGATTTGAAAAAAAAAAAAAAAGGACTAGACTGCATCAAGGAAGGAATGGATTCAGATTCCTGAGGCAAAGTTAGCATGGAGCACATCAGAAGTAAATGGACTGAGTTTTTTTCCTATTTTTCAGTGAACAGGAAGGTGAAGTGCAAAAGGAAGATGAAGTGCAAAAGGGAGGACTATTGCATTTCTACAACTACACTAAAACCAAACAGAGGAAGCTGGATATCAGTAAGGCTACTGAGACACAAAACAGTAATGGTTAGAGTTTTGAACTAAGTCCTGGGTTCAAATCACTACTCTATGAAGCTCAGTGAGTGGTCTTGGGTCGGTCACATTCTCTTGAGGATAGAGTGGGAGTACAAGAGCTACAGATGATGCCTTCAGCTCACTGGAGGAAGGGCAATACATGAATAAATGTCTTGACCAGTCAGCTCATGGCTGGACATCTACAGGTTAATTCCTAAGCAATATTAAGAATTCACCAGAAAGAAGGTATCTAAAACAGGGGAGGGGATGCTGTGACCTTCCAGACATTACTAACCGAGACTGCTCATGATCAGTGCAGGTCCCCCTCCCTCATTCTAGTTATTGGATCCATGTAACATCAAGCCCAGCATGGTCAATGATATGGATGACAGAAGATGGGAGACCAACAACTTCTAGACAACCACAGGTTCAAAAGACACAACATGGTACAAGGGAGATGACAAATACTGTTAATGTGTGGACAGACTTATTTTGTCAACAAAATGAAGCCATGATCTTTTTTTCAACTCTAGTACCTGAAGTAGGAGGTGAGCAGTTTGGAAAGTTGTCACATGAGGGGAGCATGAACCTTCTCACACACGTCAGTGAGAAGATTAAGCTGATCTTCCTGAAACACCATGTATCTATATGCTATCTTCTCCCCTACCCTGTCCAGCATGGGGACAATGTACTGGGAATATCCCCATTGTCATGAAGTGGCACAGTCCCCCCCCCCCAAAAAAGTTCTGGATTTAATTCTAAGGATAGTATAAATTGTACCATATAGATGTAAAAGTGTAACATAGGTGAAATGTTTCGCTTCACAAAGAATACAAGTTAGTAGTAAAACCATGCTGAAAGCCACAAAGATCTCAGGAGACTTCATTGTTCAAATGTTGCTGAACCAAATGATCGTGAAAAGAAAATATATGTTGGTCAACAGAAGTCCTGTCATCCTCCAAAAGAGACCGAGAGGGGGGAAAAGTTGAACATTGTTTGCAGGAAGAATGCTCCATGAAATTAAAATGGAAACAATGGTAGCAGATATGCTAATTGTGGTTTTTAGTGTAGGTATGCATGCGTAGACAGAAGCTACTGTAGCGGTAAAGGCTTAAACATGAAGCTCAAAAAGCTGAAGTGCAAATTCTTGCGGTTTTTAGCTGTGTAAGTGTGGAGGGAACACACCTAAAAACCTCAACAGTTTCCCTTTCTGAAAGTTTAAACTTAGCTAGCAAGTGTTAAGCAGATATGCTAACTGTTGTGATTTTTAGCGTAAGTGTGCTTGTGTTGTTAACCAGCCCAGGGACAATATACTGCACTGCATTGTTCCTGGCCTGGTTAACACAGACTTAAAAGCCATAATACTTTGTATTTTATCTTTAATAAAGCACTTTTTGGACAGTGATGTTCTAATTGTTTTATGGAGTGGCTTGCAGAGCATCTGACTGGCAACTACCAACTTTGCTTAGAACACAGAACAACTCTGGTGCGATTCCCTCACTGAGGAAGCTGGCCTTCATATAATTGTAAATGAGAAACTTTGCATGCATCTCTGCACTTGCACCAGTATGCAAAGGGCTTGTTTTCCTGACACATTCACATTTCGTATTCAAGAGGACTTCAGGAAAGGTGGGGGATACCCCCCACGAGCAGTAGATTGCCACTGCATGTGCCAGGCATACATCCAGGCTTTGAAAAGCAATTCCCTCCAGAGGGATTTACAAAACAAAAGGTTTGAAGAAGTCAAGGGAAAAATCCTAGAGAGTTCTAGCTGCATGCAAATTAAGGCTCAGGCTGCTGTTTCTGCTCAGAGAGAGGCATGCTTAAAACCAATCACTGACTAGATATGTGGGCTCATGGGATCACCCAGTTGAATCTATACTGTGTGTGTTTTGTGCAGTTTTAGGGGGGGTGCAAGAAATAGCAGGTGTACAAGAATGCTGAAGCCATAAAACGGAAAAGGATGAGTTTGCATAGCAGTGGCTAGTGAAAGCTGAGAGCTGCTAATCACACACAAGTCAACCATATTTATCACATTACATAACCAAGTATGGAAACTGATTTTTATAAGAAGGCCAAATTGGAAAAATGGCTTCAGCTGCCCTCTTCTCCCCAGAGTTCAAAGCTGTTCATTCCATGTAAGTGAACAGGGAACAGACACAGCATCTGGTTCAAAAGTGTGGTTAAAGTGCTTTTAAGGACACAGATTTCCACTGGTGTCCCATGCCCCGTCCATTTTGCCCTCTGCTTCTCCAGATAATCCTGATCAGAAGCACATTATACAGCAGCACGTTCAAGTGAGTTGATGGCCCCTCTAAGGTTCTGAAGATAATTTTATGGTGATTTATACAACATTTCTTTCTGTCATACCAGCACAAAGGTGGCAGTGGAACAACTTTAAAACGGACTCAGATTTTTAATAATGCCATTGCTCTCTTGAACACTGTAATTAGTTTAATTCTCCAAGGCTGGCATCATCTGCAGCTAAGTACCCATTCAATTACAAAGAGGGAGGCGGGAGAGAAAATGGCTTCCTAACGCTCCTTAGGAGGTATGCTTATATCAATTACTCTTGTTTTTGACATACACCATTCTTCATGAGAAGGAACCCCTCGTGTGATGGGCGCAGTGATTACATTTTCCCCACACCCCTCCTCCTCACATACTAATATTATTTTTTAATCACCAGCTGGTGATGAAAACTTCTGTATGGCTTGACATTACAGATTGATGATGCTTGACTGGCCAGGGCAGAAGGACAGCCTTCTGGTAAAAGAAAACAGCTTCCAATGGGAATAGGAAATGGAACTAAGAGGCTTAATCAACCAAACTGATAAGACCTTTGTAATGGTCCAGATGTCCACACACAAGACCATAACAAATGATTGATATAATAGGCATGGCAGCATTGGGTTCCCAAAGCTGCCATGTGGCTTACAGGTGCAAAATACAAACAAACTATACAGGAACAAATTTCAAGTGAATCTCTCACGCGTCAGATAAGAAACACTCTGTTTATAGCAAAAAATACCACTGGTTTGCTTTTCAGAGAGCACCTTGGACAATCATAATGAATTTATTATTGATTTACCTATTAAGTGTACAGACATCTGTGTCCCTGTCTAAAGATGTGGCTCATGTAGGTACACTCGGAAGAATTCACATTGCCGTTTTCTAAACCACAGCTATCACGTGCTCTCTCTTGTTCTCCTTCTTACCACTAAAACACATATTTCTTTCTTCCTGGCATGGCATTCTCTCACAGTGATTAACAGTAACAAGATGTTCTCACAACCAATTATGAAAACTTACTTCCAGTCCTGCCTCAAATAGAGCTAGTGCAAAGACAGAGCTGCAGCACAGTTGGGTAACTGTGGACCTTTATGCTGATATATGTATTTATGCAACACAGAATGTGTGTGTGTGTACACATACACAGAGTCTCTGGTTATGTCATTGTCCCGGTCTAACAGACTTCTGACACCTGCCTTATATACCAGTCTGGCTGAATAGAGATACATTCTGATTGGTTAGAGCAACTATGGCCCATGGGCCACATTCAGCCCACTTTGCCTTTTTATCTGGCCCAGGCATAGGAAGAGGAGGGAAGGGGGACCCAAGCGATCCCCACCCTCACTGTCTTTGCAAAGGTCCCCCATCCCTCCTCTTCCTATGCCCGAGCAGGGATAGGAAGAGAAGCGAAGCCTGATCTAAATGATCCCCCCACCCCCACTGTCTTTGCAAAGACAGCAGGGGTCCCCTTTCCCTCCTTCGGCCCTCAAAAATGTGTAAAATATATTATGTGACACTCATGCTGAAAAGTTTGGAGACCCCTTGGTTAGAGTCATATTCTATGCTATATATATGTGTCTGTGTGTTTGCTAGAACCAGAATGTTGTCTTAGCATAGAATATGCTAGAATAACCAATCAGAATGGATCTGTACTCAGCCAGGCTGCAGGTGTCACTTAGAAGTCTGTCAGACTGGGACAATAACATAACCGGAGACAGGGGCTCACACAATATGTAACTAAGAAAGGGCTGACAGAGCCCAATAAAAGACTGAACCAAATACAGTATGTAATATGTATCTCAGACAGATGTAACTGATTAAAATATGTAACAATGCCAAACAGGGCTTACAAATGTTACAATATCACAATGAGATAGTTATTTCCTAGAGAAAATATGTCTGCCATACCAAATGTCTAAGCACTACAAGTCATGCTATATTTTATAGTTATTTATGAACAGTAAAGGCGAGTTCTTGTTTTAACCAAGTCGTAAACACACAATACAGAAGAATGTATAATTTTAATCTATACATTTTCAGCTGCCATATATAAATTCTGTTAAGTTATAGGTTATAATTTATTTATTATAACCAAAAGCTCACACTTTAGATGTTGTGGCACTACAACTCCCATCAGCTCTAACCACCATAAATAGTGGTGAAGAAAGGGACGTTACTTACCTGTAACCATGGTTCTTTGAGTGGTCCTCTGTGAATGCGCACAAATGGGTTAGACTGTGCCTGCGCAAGACTTCTCAGAATATTCTAGAGCTTAGAGAAACGTGATTAGTAGGACGTTTCCCTGCAGTGCGCATGCTCCACCCACCCATAATACCTCAGTTCCGAAATGTCTGCCACTGTTAGATTGCAACCATAGCAAAGATCAAATGCAAGTGACGGACAGCAAGGAGGATGGGTGGGATTTGTGGATTCACAGAGGACCACTTGAAGAACCATGGTTACAGGTAAATAACCTCCCTTTCTTCTTTGTGGCCTCTGTGAATGCACACAAATGGGTGACTAGCAAGCTCACTTACCGGGAGGAGGTCAGTCATGCCAACAATGATGTCAGCACAGCCCTTCCAAAATTTGCTTCCTTCTTGGCCCTTGAGGTTCAGACGGTAGTGTGTCGCAAAGGTCGATGATGTGGGCCAAGTGGCTGCTCGACAAATGTCAGAAACATCAATGCCACACAATAAGGCAGTTGAACTAGCCATAGCTCTTGTAGAATGTGCCTTTAATGCATCTGCTGGAGCTTTGCCAGCCAGTTCATAGGCCAAGGTGATAGTAGACACGATCCACCTAGAAATTGTCTTTGAGGAGGCAGGAGAGCCTTTACGTGGGCCATGGAAGCAGACAAGTAGTCTACGGGAAGTGCAGAAGTCTTTAGCCCTAGAAGTGTAAAATGCTAGGAATGGAGCATGCACTCAACGTCCGAAGAAGGATCAGGGAACTACGTCGGAAGAATCAAACATTGATTAACATGAAAACTTGATACAACTTTGGGAAGAAAGGAGACATCAGGATATAAGACGACCTTGTATGAGTGGAATTGTATACAAGGGGCATCAGCCCGAAGGGCAGCTAATTCACTTGCTTGTTGTGCAGAAGTTATTGCTACAAGAAAAAGCGTCTTGAAAGAGAGGAGTTGAAGATCTGAAGAAACCATTGGCTCAAACGGGGGGGGGGGCAAGTAAGAGCTCATAACATGACTTGAAGGGATCATTGAGGCAATAGAGGTCGGACAGGTGGGCGAATATTATGTAAGCCCCTTAAAAACATCTTCAAGGTCAGGTGTGAGAACAAGCAGGAGGCTTCTGAACCCGTAGGTTGGTAAGAGACGATAATGGAGAGATAAACCTTTAGTATAGAATGGGCCAGTCCTTGGTCAAATAGATAGTGCAGAAAGACGAGAAGCGTATCCAACGGAACTGGAACAGGTAACAGATCTCTAGAGGAAGAAAATGTAGAAAAAACATTCCATTTGTAAGAATACAACAGCTTGGTGGAGGGTTTTCTGGCTTTGTCCAAAACCTCTGCTATACTGGGGGAATCCTCCAAGCTGTGAGATAGAGCGACTCCAGGTCGGGATGGCAGATCCTGCAGGCATCCTGGGTCAGAAGAAATAGTTGGGGAGGCACCCTCAGTAACTCGAAAGCCATGGTCTTGAGGGCGGTAAACCAAGCTTGCCAAGGCCACCATGGGGCCAATGGAATGGCATTGGTGCGTAGCTGGCGTATCCTGACTAATATCCGCTGAATTAGTGGGATGGGAGGGAACAAATAAAGGAGACCATCTTCCCAATTCACCATGAAGGCGTCGCCGAGGGAGTTTTTGCCTCTTCCTGCTCTAGAACAAAACCTGGTGCATTTGGAGTTGTTCTGGATTGTGAACATGTCGATGGTCGGAGTTCCCCATCAATTGCAGATATGAGAAAAAACGGAATCATCGAGCTCCCATTCGTGAGTTTGAGTGGACAGGGGACTCAAACGGTCGGCAATATCGTTGTCTTCTGTTGACACATGAATGGCGATTGGAAAAATATGGTGGTTATAACACCATTCCCAAAGATGAACTGCCAAATATAGGAGTGACAACGAGAGGGTGCCCCCTTGCTTGTTGATATAATACATGGTCATGGTGTTGTCCGTGGCCACCTGGACCCCTCGGCCTACTATTAGATAAAAGGTGTGAAACGCCTTGATGACCACCAGCATCTCTAGATGGTTGATGTGACCTGGAACACAGGGCATGGATTTTGTGGGGCCACAGTGTGCAGCCCCCAACCTGTTGGGCTGGCGACCATTGTAACCTGGACCGTCAGTTGAATGGGCCAGAAGGGATGACCCACTAGAAGGTAAGGCAGGCTCGGTATCGAGACAGGCTCGGTATCGATACTGAAGCCTGAGCCTGTGGAGGTGGTACAGAATCTCCTGCCTCAGAAGGAGAATCTGGGTCCAGCAACTCCCTAGATGACTTCTCCAGGATCGGGGATGGGAGGGAAACCCGAATCGGCAGAGGGTCTTGAGTTTGAGCAGGTCTAGAAGGATGGTTGGACTTATCTAACCGTCTCCTTCTTTTTCTTAGGATCTTTTTCCAATGGCGATTCTGACACCAAGGTCGATACCGGAGTTTTGGATTTCAACTCTTTAGAAGAGGACGTCAGAGAAGTAGCAGCAGGAGTCAGCGGAAGGAGCAGACTCAGGACAAGGAGTAGGAGGCGCAGAAGCTACAGTAGGCTCCATAGTAGCTGAGCTCGAGGGGGAGAGTGATTTTTCCCACAAGTACGAACGAAGTCACCGCAAACACAGCTTAAACGCCGGCTTGGTCAGTTTTTTATACCCCAGTCAGGAATGTGTCTGATGTCTTTCCCATAAGCAAAATAAGCAGCGATTGTGGCCGTCGGTAAAGGGAATCTTGTTGGTACACGATGTACAACATTTAAAGGGGTGTGACAAGGCCATAAAAATAGGCGGGAAAGGGACGGGGGAAATAACTCACAGGCAAATGTCAACCATTAGTAGTCCAAATCTAATCAAACTGTAGAAATAGAGACAAAGTTCATGATCCAGAAATCATAAACAGGTAGACAGTTCGAAGTAAAAAAGCCAAAAATATAAAGAGAGGTTCGCTCTAAACGTTGCAAAGGAGTCCAATCGCAGCAGTGGCAAGAAGGAACTGAGGTATTACGGGCAGGTGGAGCATGCGCACTATGGAGAAACGTCCTACTAATCACGTTTCTTTAAACTCTAGAATATTCTGAGAACTCCTGCACAGGCGCAGTCTAACCCATTTGTGTGCATTCAGAGGCCACAAAGAACATGGAAGTCTGACTTCCACCAACAACTGAAGGGCCCTATATCTCTTATTAGAGATGGGTGTATTCCTATTTGTATATGACTATGAATATCCCAGTACAGGTGGAACTAACGAGGGTCTGGCCCCCCTAGAGTCAGACTGTCCACTCACGTGTCCGCTGGCGGCCTCACTCATCCTTCCAATCACTCCCGGATCCCCGCTCTCTTGCTGCTTGGCTAGTGGCAACCATGCAGGGAGACGTGTCCTCCCTCCCCTTGCCTGGAGTGGTTAGCCGAGCAGGAAGAGAGCAGGGCTCCTGGAGTGATCGGAAGGATGAGCAAGGCTGGCACTGCTGGCAGAAGAATGAGTGGACGGTTCAGCCCCAGGGGCCAGCCCCTCATTAACCCCCATTCCTCATCCCTGATCTACAGCAACTGTGCAAGAAAGGGAGGAACATATGTAGAGAGAGACAAGAAGGGCCATACGTGGAACATGGATCTATGCACACTGGATTACTAGAAGAAACGTGAGGAAAGGATGAGTTTCCATCCTGTAGTCAAAACCAAAGGTTTCATATGTACAAGAAAGAGACACCTTGAAAAATCTCAGATGATCTCATAGAAAATTACAGTTTACAAATCAGCCCTTTCCATATAATCAAATCAGAGTTTGTGGTTGAAGAGCAGCAGTAAAAAGAATAACACAGAGGTGTTGTCTCATCTTACCCAAAGGGATCTCCAACTACAAGGAAAGCCACGTCACACAAATGGGCATCCTTCAGAATGGTATCTGCTTCTTGTTCTACAGTTTCTCGGTCAGCAAGAATAAGATCTTTCCCATAGAACTCTTCCTGGGGGAAGATAGTAACATATACATGCTACTGCATTATTTTAACATTTTGAGGACTCATTTACATAAGGCAATACACAAACTTCTCCACAGAGAGCATAGTTAAACTATAGAATCTGTTATGACTACACATCATGATGGCTACCAAATTAGGGAGTTTTAATGGGGGATTGGATACATTCCTGGAGGATAAACCGACCTAGGGCTACTAGCCATGATGGCTGCATATTATCTCCAGGATCAGAGACAGTATATCTCTGAATATCAGCAGCCAGGGAATATGAGTGGGAGTGTAACTAACTCGTGTTTCTTCACACCATTAAAAACAACTATGCTGTTGTTGTTGTTGTTTAGTCGTTTAATCGTGTCCGACTCTTCGTGACCCGATGGACCAGAGCATGCCAGGCCCTCCTGTCTTCCACTGCCTCCCGGAGTTGCGTTAAATTCATGTTGGTTGCTTCGATGACACTGTCCAACCATCTCATCCTCTGTCGTCCCCTTCTCCTCCTGCCTTCACTCTTTCCCAATATCAGCATCTTTTCCAGGGAGTCTTCTCTTCTCATGAGATGGCCAAAGTATTCATAATCTAGTACATGTTAGCAATTTGGTCTCTAGTTCCTCTGCCCCTTCAAAATCCAGCTTGTACTTCTGGGAGTTCTCGGTCCACATACTGCTGAAGCCTACCTTGTAGGATTTTGAGCATAACCTTGCTATGGTGTGAAATGAGTGCAATTATACGGAGTTCTTTAGACCCTATATATACTAGAATTATACGTTACTTCCTCTTTTTCCTCTTCCTTGCTTCCAGCTGATTAAAGAGGCTGTAGCTTATCTCTAAGCAGAGCTACCATTGAGAATAAGCGGAAAAAGTACTTCCTAAGACAGGAAACAAACTTCCTCACTGATCCCACAATAACCAAGCAAAAGATCCTATTCTATCATTAAATATTCTGAAAAATGATATATCAAGGTAACTGTCATATTAGCTGAAATCCAGTAGAAAGTCACAACTAGAGTAGGCCCACTGAAACAATGGAACTTACATAGGTGTTGCTTTTCCAAATCTCCACTGGCCTACTTTAGTTCTAATTTACTACTCAATTTCAGCAAATGTTTTGAAAAAGATTGCTCGTCAAGGTTAACTTTCTAAGTTGTAATCATTTACAGAGCTTTTTGTTTTTTCACTGGTTACTTTACTAGTCAGGGAGATCAGACAGAGATACAGAAAAGGAGCCCCCCTCTGTGATGTGGGTTACACAGAGAGATATTGACTAGGTACAAAGTTATATAGTCGATTTAATTGTAATAATGGTTACAGCAGCAAAGTTAATCTTTGCAAGAATCTGGAAAAATGATAACCAACTTAACTTAGAGGAATGGTATAGAGAACTATGGGATATGGTAATTCATGATAAATTGACATGTGATATGAAAATAAGAAGAGGCCTAATAATGATTTTAGGAAAATATGGAGTGCATTCTTGGAATACGTATTTCAGAGAGGGAAAGAGTACATGCTGAGGGAAAAACAATGAAGTTTTGGAGAGAAAATGGATTGAACGAATTTTAAAAATATTATTAATGCTAGCCCTGAGGTGGCACTGGTGTATTATGTAATTGTATTTTATTGTAGTGTTAGGTTTATGTTGTTTGGGTTGGATGTTTGTTTAATAAATAAATAAATAAATAAAAACCAAAAAGAAAAGTTATACTGTATAGTGGAAGTCATAGCAAAGTGGAGATGTGAACTGAAGTCTCACTGGTGCATCTTTAACATTCACTCTGTATTTGTACTCGAGGTCCCATTCCCTCCGCCTCTACGTACCAGGGCTTCCTTTCCGACAGTGAGGATTGAAGTGTAGGCTTCCAGATATACTCGGCTGCATTGCTTTATTACTTCAAGGCCTTTTACTGTAATATCTTTGGCATCTCCAAGTCCAAGTCCAATCAGATAAAGCATTTTTCCCTATACAGTATATCTGTCAAGGAAACAGAACAGAAGTCAATTGGGGAGTGGAAAATTTTAAACCTGCCAAAGAATTGAAGGCAAACAAAAAGCAAACAAAAGTATATAACTTTTTCTTTTTTTCTTTTGCCAAATAATAGAACAGAATACTGCAGGTTAACATTTCTCTGTACAAATGTGAGCATTATGGTTATGATTTTTTTTATAACCAGGAAAATAGTATGGCTAAATTCTACTGGTGTTTGACAAGAGTCTAATTTGACTCACAACTCAATGCCAAGATGTATCTTGGTTGCATGTCTATGCATCTAATTGGATAAGTGAGATGCATGCTAGCACCTCATCAACTAGCCATGGCAAGTTATACAAACCTTCTGCAGCTGGATTCCGGCCTACCACCAAAAATAAAAGCAATAATGTTTCTGAAACAGCATTACAATACAATGGTTGAAGTGAAGATTTGTTTCTCCAGTTCTTGGGGGAAAAACAGATCAGAGGAGAATCACTGCTCATAGAATGGCCCAAATCCCAAATGTAGTTATGCCTGCAGAAGGCAAACAGTGGAACTAACACTGTCTTCTTGCTGCTAATTAATGTATTTCTACATGAATCTACTGGGTACACCAGTCCAATGTGTTGAGATGCACCTGAAAATCCAAGCAGGGACTTGTTAATTGCCAGCTAGAAGTTGTTGTGAGTCTCGTTTTCCTTCTGCAACTGTAACCATACACACTGTTTCGAGTCTCATTGTTTTCCTTCTGCAACTGTAACCATACACACCAACCATGGATGAAGTCCATGGTTTGCTTAGATGCTCCCACTGACTGAACTGTTCGTATACATGACAAGCCAAGAATCTTGGATTGTTGTATTATGTGAATTTGCCTAATACATTTGACTTTTCTGTTTTGAAAACTCTTATTTAATCATGAAAGAAATTTGAACTGGATGCAAACATGGGTAATGGAGTAGAAGACTGGTGGTACAGTCATTAAGGCCATTTTTAAAACCCTGTTGATATAACAGTGGGGTGGAAAGATATGCTGCTCATCACTGATAACTTCACAAGCACTGTTCACTGTGGTATCTGCACAAAAAGGATCCAGAAATCACTACAGAGATAATTAAATCAGTTTTCTCCAGTATAGATGCAAGCATTATTACCTACCAAGATCCATACATTTCAGAACAGAAATGCCCCCTGCCCCTTGTCATTTATCACATAATACTTTGACACTAACAGGATTCTCTTCTAGCATCTCTCCCACATCCTGGCAGGGTCTGCCCTACCATTAGGTGCAGTGAGGTAATAATCTGAGGCAACCCATATTGGGGAGCTGTGGCAGCCTCCTCCTCACCTATTCTCCTTTGTTGAAGGGCATAATCATATATGAGTACTAAGATAATCAGGAGTGGCCTTTCTCTCGTTCCCACCACCCTCACAGGCACATATGGCAGAGACACCAAATTTAAATATATTTAACTCTTTTTAAATATTGTAATCATGTATTATTTTAGCTTTTAACTTTGTTTCCCCTTTTTCTGGGGGCATCCTGGGATTGTTGAAATTGCCCAAGGCCACGCAGGTTGCTTGTACCCGCAGAAGGCATGAAATCTCTGCAGTGATTTCGACGAGCCTTCCGTGTCAACGAACGACAATCTAGCGGTTCTCCTTACCACGTGCTTCCTCAGCTTATGTACACCGTTGCCCGCCCGCCCGCCCACCCGGAAATTAAAGCTTGCTCGGTACTGCAACACACCTCTTACCACCGGCGAAAAAATAAGAGCTGAGTTCTCTCGCTGCAAGGCTTTCCCTTGCTTCACACGTGCACCTCCCTATCCCTCTACGGCTCGCCTTCCTTCACTGCTTGCCGTAAAGAGATTCCTTCAACCCGGGTTTATTTTTTTACGACGTTTTACGCCACCAGAAGCATTGGTCTTTCCACCCGCGCGATTTTCGGCGGCGGGGGAGGGGGGAAAGGAGGCGGGGAAGGAGGAGGAGGAGGAGGGTGAGGGTGGATGGGGTCGACGCTGTTGAGGTGGAGACGGCTCAGCATGAGCACCTGGGAATCCAGGAAGGTGCTGAGGGTGCCCACGGTGCCCCTTGCTAATGGCTTAAACATCCCTATGTTGGGGCTGGGTAAGTGCTCAGGCTACAACGCTCGTGGTGGTCAGGAGTCGACAGCAGCGGCTGCAAAAAGCCATATAATCAATACTGCTAAGCGCGCTGAGAAGAAAAATCATTCAAGGGCTGGCATAGTTTTCCTTTCCCTTAATCTCCCCACTCCTCGGCCACTCGGTTCTTCACCGACAGATTTTGTAAAGACGGAGTGGAAAACTTTGGTCTTCCAGATGATTATGGGACTTCAATTCCCATAATGCTTTGCCAGTGGCCGTGTTGAATGGGTGCTGAAGTCCAAAAATCCGAATGGCCAAAGGTTTCCAACCCCTTCTGTAAAAGGGTGCAATAGTCGTGTATGTTGGTCCATTAGGAAAAAAGAAATATAAAAGGCACAATATGACCCATAGCTTTGTAGGACTACCTGACACCAGACATATGCTTAACTTCCTCCTGTTAGGACTGTGTGTTATGTGCTGTCATGTTGGAAACTTATCTATAGCAACTCTAATTGGGCTTTCAAGGTAAGCGAGCTATATAAGGAGTGGGTTTACCATTTTCCCCATTGAACTTCCATGACCAAGGGGGGATTTAGCCTTCCAAATGCACTGGACAGCAACTCCCATAATTCTTTACCATAGGCCATGCAAGATGAGGTTTCTGGGAGTTGCAGTCATCAGATTTGGAAGGCAAAAGTTACATTACCCTATGTTGGACTGTGCAGCACAGTCCTGTGCTCAGAAGTGATTCTAGTTGTAAGAGGACTCTCAAGGGAACTGTCTCACAGGGCCAGTCTCCAGACAAGCCTCTAAGTGTGTTGTGTTTCACTAAGTATTATTTATTAAAAATATTTTTACCCTGCCTTTTTTCCTTAAAAAAGGACCTGAAGCTTATGTCAGTTAAAAAAACAACACTACAAAAATAAGTTATTCAAATATTTTAAAAGAATCAAATAAACATTATATTAAAATAATAGAAAAAAGTATTCCTAAAACAGATTTAAAAGCAACAAAAGTACAAACAATCCTGTTTTTCAGATTCTCTGTTAGGCAGCCAGTCACTAAGGGAAAGCCTGCCCGAAGAATAAGGTCTTCATTTGCTTGTGGAAGGAAAGCAAAAAGAGAGAGTTCCAGAGTCTATCAGTAGTAACAGTGATGGCTCTCTCCCCTGCCCCCACCAAACACACCTCTGAAGGTGGTGAGACCGAGAGAAAGACCTCCTTTCATTATCTTAATACCTGGGCAGGCTCATAAATAAAAATGCAGTCTTTGAGATAGCTTAGACCCAAACATTTAGGGCTTTATAAGTTAAAACCACTTTGAATTGTACATGAAAATGGATCAACAGTCACTAGACTGTTAACTGCAGATTTATCTCTGACCACCCCAGAAACCTGGGCATCCAGACTCGGAGATGAGCCCAAGCTACACATATATATTTTCAGAGGGAGTCTAACCCCATCCAGCACATTGAGCTTGATACAGCTCCCCCTCCAGTAGTGCCTGCAGAATCCCATTGGGCAGCTTTCAGAGGGGTGGTTAATTTGACTATGTCTTTGTTGGATGGAACTGAATCAGCTTGTTATGTGTAAGCTGGCATCAGTACAATCTTATTTATTAAGCTTCCCAAATAAGCGGCAAAGATATCGAAGTGCTTTTTGTCTGTGAAGATTCTCAGTCATCCAGGTGAGGTTATCTGGAAGCTGAGTCATGGCAACTGGACTTCTTTCTTGTTAGGTTGAAACATTTTGCTACACATCCAAGTACAGTGGTGCCTTGCTTGACGGAGTTAATTCGTTCTAGCGAAATCACTGTAGAGCGAAAACTGCGTCAAATGAAATTAAAAAAACCCATTGAAACGCATTGAAAACCGTTCAATGCATTCCAATGGGCTGAATACCTGCTCGTCCAGCGAAGATCCTCCATACAGCGGCCATTTTCTTGTGCCTGTTAAGTGAAAAGTCTTCCTAAAAACAGCGGGGGCAATTTTGAAACCCACCAATCAGCTGTTTGCTGATCGTTGTAAAGCGAAAATCAGTTCCCGAAGCAGGGAACCAATCATCGCAAAGCGGAAAAACCCCATTTAAACCATTGTTAAGCGATCACAAAAACCTAATCGTACAGCTATTTCCTCAGTAGTTAAGCGCAGTAGTTAAGCGAGGCACCACTGTAGCTTCTTCTGTCTGAAGAGAGTTGGTAGGAGATCCCTGATACGTGGGGATATATCAGGGATCTCCTACCAACTCTCCTCAGATTGAAGAAGCTACTTGGATGAGTAGCGAAACGTTTCAACCCAATAAGAAAGAAGTCCAGTTGCCATGACTCAGTTTCCAGAAAAGTGTTTTTTTGTGTGTGTTTGTTGCTTACTAGAAGCTGGATTTCATAATAACTGTTCTGACTTTGAATGCAGCTATAAATAGTGAATGTTCTGCTATTTCAAAGCCAGTCTCTAAGGTTCCTAAGCATTCAATGTCTGAAGTCTTGTTGCTTTGCCTAATAAAATTTGTAAGTTTCAATCTACTCTTAACTGGCAAACAAAAAGCCGCACTGTGGTTCTCAGTGTGTAGGCGTATGCATCAAGACAGCATGTATGTGTGCCCCTGAGAACTACAGCTGGGTCTCTTCCGTCTTCCAACAGCTCCCAAAATCCTCATCCTGTGTGTCCAGTGGTTTAAGTTACAAATATTATGCTAAACAACAGGATTTCAGCCAATCTCCTTTCATTCCTGTACCTCTGTTCCCATTTATTTTACCTTGAATCATCAGCTGTAACAGTATGCACAATTTTGTTTCCCATTACATGACAACCGTATTCTTCTAACTTTCTGCATGTTATGTATTTTTATGATTTTTTTGATCGCTATTCATTCACCTTGTTCAGCCTCTTGACTCAAGACGTTCTTACTGTAAACATTATTATTAGTCTGATTCTTTCATGCTCCAGTTGTGCAGTGACCAAAAACTCTGCATGTCCCATTAACTTCTCTAAATGTAAGAAAGTATGCAGGGGTTTCTTTGATATAGCTTTATCTTTCTAAGCTCTGTGATCACACATTAAATCTCAGTTGTCTTCACATAGAACTGTTTCCTACATGCAGAATGTTGTGAGTATGGGAGGGGATTGGGTTGGGGTAAGTTTTATTTTGTTACCTTTTTTGCTGATGTTGGTAATAAGACATTAAAACATGGTCATATCATATATCTTCATAATGGTTAGCTTTACATTAAAATTGTTGACACTTGCAGATCCTTTCTTTTCATCAGTCAAGAAGCATCTACTCACCTGCCTCACTAAAGGTGACTCACAAAAATTCTTCATTTACCACACTACAAGTGTTCTAAATGCTTCACTCATATATTTTGTGACACAGTGATTCGCTTTTAAAAAATTGAACAATGAGTGGGAATTCACGTGTGATAGGAGAAAATGGGCTGCACGCAGATATAACTGTGGTGTAGATATAGGGGAAGCTGTATATCTATGGCTGAAATCCTGTTGCACAGCTCCACATGTGGAAAAATGATGATGTAATCAACATCAGCAAATCACTACTGATTAAAGGTTTCCTTTTGTGATTTTGGGGGGCATGCAACTTCTTTGCCTTAGTGTATGAGTTGTGTTGCTTTGTGAAATTGATGAAGTTATCTCTGTTGCACATGTGGAGTTGCACAACAGGATTTCGGTCTATGTGTTTTATGTACCACCAACTCAGAAGCGAAGCTGCAACTATACTGGCAAGCCAAATTGCTCTGATTCAGCGTGGTTTTGAAAGGTTTGTACAGTGTCCTGGAAAAGGTGGCAGTGTTTCAGAATTCTTCATATCATATACAGAAACACCACATATCATAGATCTTTTACTGTATTTCATGTAGATTGTATGGTTTCCTTTGTAATTTTAAAAACAACTTTTCATTATGATTGTTGGAAGGCTTTGCCACTTATCATTGCAGCACAACACATAGATGATCTTTTCCTTCTCAGGAGGAACGGATTATTTGTTCACTGAACTGCAACTGATGTTGGGAAAAAGTCTTATTTATAGTAATTGTAACAACCCCAGACCTACTGGAGTATCCCACCCTGTAGTTATGCTGCCACCAACCATTCGCTCTACCAAGTCACCCAGACCAGGAATGGATTTTAATAAACAAAAGAACAAGGTTTATTGAAAAAAACAACACATAGATGATCTTTTCCTTCTCAGGAGGAACGGATTATTTGTTCACTAAACTGCAACTGATGTTGGGAAAAAGGATTAGGATGCTCCTTTTACCTCGCTTTGGAATTGCTCAGAGTGTTATTCCCCATGCTCCGCCAAAATGCCTCCTCATCATCACCAGATCTAACATCTTGGTTGCCTTCTTGTCAGGACCTCATCATCGTGAACTTTTCCTGTATCTACTAAAGTCAGTGGAGGGAAAAAGTCTTATAGTAATATACTCCTTGTTGAGAGCAACATCCTATGAAAAAAGAAAAATAGAAAGTTGAGTTTTGTTGCTGTTTTGTTGCCAGGTGTAGAAGAGAAAAAACTTCAGGGTAGCATACGTACTCAATTCTTAAGACATTTTGAGTGGGTTTAATTAAGGAAAATAAGTAGCAATGGGTGAACTGTCTTATAGAGTTGTTGGTTCATCTATTGAACAGATTCTGTTGTGACAATATTGATCTTCCCAAATAATCCCTTGGATGATAAGCTTCCAAGGAATTCCACAGTTCCCCAAAATGCAAAAGGGATTGAAAATCCCTGTTTTAATTAAACTCTACAGAATATCTTGGCTTCAAGATACACTGTTGAAGGAGGACCTCATGTTGCTCTACACAGAGCTGGATTCTAATAAGAAACCATCACTTCCTGGTCTTTATAAAAGCATTTGTGACCTCGTAGAGCTTCTTTTAAATAGCTTCATTGCAACAGAACCACAAAAATGAGTTGGGGAAAAAAAAATCAAACCAACCTTTTAGAATACACACAGTGGATTCAGTGTGATGTTTCTTTTTGAAAACTATTGTGGGATGCCAGA